TACAGAAATTGGTCTATAGTTATTCAGGTCAGATTTTGATCCTTTTTTAAAGATAGGAGTCACCTTGGCGATTTTCCATTCATCTGGAAAGGTTTCTGTTTCTATACAGCTATTAATTTCAGAAGTTTACAAGGAACTCCGGTCAATCCCATGGCTTTCTTTTCGTCAAGCTGACTTAGTAGCTCACACACAGTTGCGACACTAAGAGCCCTTAAGGAGAAGGCTGTTTTAGTGGGCTGTAAATAACTTTCAGGGTCGATATTTGAAGGTGATAATTTACTGGCTAGATTTGGTCCAATAGATGTGAAAAAGTTATTAAAAGCTTCTGCAATTTCAGGCGCAGAATTTAGTTTCGTTATCTGTTTTAATTTCAGTGATATTGCGGTTTGTGTAAGATTTACGCGAGTTCAGTTCGTCAATTAGCTTCCAAGTTTTGGAAGAATTCTTTTTGTTCAACTCTAAGTTGTGCAAAAAAGACTGACGTTTGGCTGATTTGATAGCATTGTTAGTTTCATTCCGCGCCTGCTTGTATTGTTCCCAACTAGCCGAATTGTTTTCAATAATAGCTTTCTTTTTTAAATAATTTCGTTTATAGATTTTACGCATCAGGTCATATGTAATCCACGGAGAATGCTTTTTTGAGATCCGCTTTGTTTTCAGTGGGGCATGTTTATCGGGAATTTCCATGAACAGGGTTTTCCACGCATCCCACATAGCAGTTGGATTTGGCTCTAAGCTAATTAAATACCATGGCTGTTGAACAAGGTCATTTAAAAATTTGTCGCTGTCAATTTTTTTGTAATCACGAGTTTCGATAGTACGGTGAGTGCCAACACGTTCAAACCGTATTTTTATCGCCATAAAAACCAGTGAGTGATCGCTAATCCCAAGATGAACGACACCAGAGTTAACAATTTTTTCGGGACAATTAGTTATACAAAGGTCAATTAATGTGCGTGATGTTGATGTAATCCAGGTTGGTTCAGAGATCATTTGGCTCAATGCGTAAATATCAAATATATTCGTTAAATTGGACGAAATGTGGTAGTTTGACCGCTTGTGCAACATATCACAGTTCAGATCTCCCAGCAGGTAGAAATCGTTGTTTTCTGAGTCAATTTTATCCACCAGGATTTCAAATCGACTAAAAAAAGCAGTTTCAGAAAAGAGGACAAGTCCTATTACTACAGAGTAGTTTTCACGATGGTAAGAAATAAGTACGCACGTAGAACCTCAACATAACGAACCTCTATATAACGAAGTCTTTGGTATAACGGACGATTTTCCTTACCCCAGAAGTAGTAAAACATAAGAAAACGAACCTCGATATAAAGAAAACCTCGTTATAGCGAACAAATTTTGCCAGTCCCTTGGCCATTCGTTATATTGAGGTTCCACTATAGTATTGCTTTTAAGTTTTGTAGAAGATCAGAAGTAAAGAAAACAAACAAATATTTCATTATACCTCGGTGCTTGCTGTAGGTCCCCTATACTTCGTTCGCGTAAAGCGCTATCGCAGCTATATTTTCCTTTAAAACTTGGCTCAAGTTTTTAGTTATTTGTGATTCGTGATTCCCCAATTTTACACGCACGTGAAAGTGGTTTTAGAATTAAGCGTGACACGTAAACGAAGATTTGATTTACACGTGATTCGTGATCTATATCATAAGCCGATTTTATTCTCGACGAATTTCTTTCGGCAAAAAGATCTTTGGGCCCCACGACTTGTAGAGTGGTCTAGCGTGTGCAACTGTACCAGTCAATTGCAAAACCACCACCCCCACCGAGCATTACAATGGATGTACGGGGGATGGGTGGTTTTGGAATTGACTAACGGACGAACGGACGATTTTTTCAGAACCAAATTTTTTTTTATGCATAGATAACCAAATTTCCTTACCCGTGGTCCTCTGCTGCCAGCGCTTCGCGCCCGCGAGAGCACAGCTAAAAACTAATCGTCCTAACTCGCTGAATATAGATTTACATCAACATTGTAAGGTCACTTGTTTCGTTCATTTCATTTCTATTTTTATTTTTTGTTCTTATAAAAGTAAAATCCGTCAACTTCTTGTCTTTACCTGCCACTTTTTTTGTTGTTTTCCCCTTGAGAGGGATTAAATTAAAGTTCCAGTTTTAAGTGACATGGGTAGGTATGAGACACTTCTGAATCTGTTCTACTTACCAACCAACACAAATTACAGGGGGACCACACAATGTGTGTGTGTAACCAATTGTTATTTATACTGAATGTACTGGATTTACCATTTGCTTCACCTATAACTATATATCGCTAATTATGTATATAAATTAATGTTAAATAACGTTGAATTACCTTACCTGTGGTATATCGTCGTCCTTTTGCCTCAAAAGCGGTTTTTTTAGAAATTTTGAATTTGAATAGATGTAATTAAACAATAAACGCTTAACGAGTCTTCTTTAAATCAGTTATTATTTAACCATTTAGTTAACGTCATCAAATCAAAAAGAGACAATCAGCAGGACGGTTTCTGGCTGGCACGTATGAATCTTGCTACACATTTTGACCGCTCAAAAACTGTGGGATTTTCATTCTCTTCGAGGGCTAGCTCCGGACCATTTAGATGGATTTTCCATCGGACGGTACGAGGAGAAGCGTGATTCTTTCGGCCTTTTTGCTGCGAGGTTTGAAAGCGAAGCCATGCGATTTTCCGAGGGAAAATCGCTCCGGCGCTGGAGCCCTTTGAAAACAAGGATTTCTCCCTTGTCCTTCTGTTATTAGGAACAGTAAACGGCGAACTCAAACTCCTTCAAAATCGCTCAAAAAACCGCTTTTGAGACAAAACGACGACAATATACAACAGGTAAAGTAATTCAACGTTAATTTAACATTGATGTCTATACATACTTAGTCGCGAAATTCACGTTCCAAAGCGTATTTAGTAACTCTCGAAAAAATCCAAGACACACCAGCGCGCGAGCTCGCGAAGAGTCACTCGAGCTGCATTCTACCCTTTGATCTGATTGGCGAACATCAAAACAAAAGGCTTTACGTCACGGAAATAGTTTTGTTGCTCATGTTCGCAGACGTTATTTTTCGGAGGAAGAGAAGCGACGACCGGAAATACGTGACAATTTTGATTAATTTAGAATAACTTTTTTTGCTTTAACTCTTTCCTTACCAAACTTGGCCTAAAAATACGAAACATCAGGCCAGTCAAAATGGCTCATAAGATGAAACCAAATGTCAAATTATGACGTCACATTTGCTGACGTCAATCATACGTAAATTTTGTACTTTTGAGTCTCCCATTTTTTATACTCTTTTTTGAAAGAACTACTCAAGGGAAGTTGAAAGCTGAAAAATTTTTTCCAACATCTCAAATATGAGCTGAGTTATGACATTTTGAATCTGGATAAATTCGAAGCACAAAAACCGGATACCCCAACCCCCCCCCCCCGTCCCCCCCCCTTGTAAAATAAGACCAAATTTAAGAGTTTTATTGTCGAGTCGTCCTTGTTATTTAAGTTACACATAACACATCTTTACTGTCGAAAGCTAAAGGAACAAGAAATTTGACAAAAAGAATTCATAACTGCGAAAAAACCTGGAAAACAGTTTTGTGACGTCATAATTTGTCACGTGATAATTTTTTTGTTTGCTTAAATTAGTGTTTACGAGTCAAAAAAGGAAAATCAAAGTTTGTGTTACTGGAAAACCAGCTTATTTAGCAAAAAACTGTGAAAAAAATATCATAGGGATCGTTTTTTAAGGAAAAGTATATGGTTCCGGGGAATTCACTTAATTCACCTTGGGAATTATATTATGTATTGTTTCAAATTTATTTATAGTCGCTTTACGCCTTATACTTTTTCCTGACTTTTACACTTTTCAACTTGATAATGGCGTAACGTGGCGCCGAAACGTCGTCCACCATTTTAAATGTTTTTTAAATGTATTTTAAAAATCTTTTAGCGTTTAACTTTTTGATCAAATTATAAATTTATTGGAGACACTATAGAGTGGACAAGTCATTAATAGGAAATAATGAGACATTGAACACCGTTGTTCTTGAATAATTTGCTTTGCCTCGCTAAATTTTTTGTTTTTGCTGCTTTTTGAAGAAAGGACGAATTCACCAACGATTCAGTTTCAAATTTTGTTTAGTCAATAGTGCATGCTAAAAAAGCGCAGCAATTCCTCAAGCCATATATCATAATAACCTATTTGGTTAAGCTCTATCCATCAATGGTGTGATATAGCTGTTGCCCGTTTATTCCAGTCTATATGGTTTTTCGTTAGTCTGGTCAAAGTCGAACCCCCAGTCGCTTCAACATGAGGTGGCTTACTGCGCTTTTCAAAAAATGCGAATTCCTGAAGTTTAAAAGCCAACTGACGATTGTGTTTTTCGCCGTCGTCAATCATCTTAGCGGACCTCTTAGGAAACAAAACTTTACTTAAACGGGTTCAAAAGGTCATGATTTGTGATTTGTGATTGGTGGATTTCGATCCGTTTTGTGTGTTTCCATGTATCAAAGGTTCGTTGCTTGTGATCGTAATTATGATTGACGGCAGCGAAAAACGCAATTGTGAAGGCGGCTTTTGAACTTTAGAGTTCACATGTTTGTTAAGAAGCGCAGTAAGCAACGACGACGGTGACGCCAGCGAGAACGGCAAAAGAGATAGCAATAGGTTTAGATTGGCAAAAAAACAACCCCGCACGTGCATCACGCTTTTTTGTACATTTCGTTGCCGTCACTGCAAGACTACGCCGTGAAAATGTCTAATTTCACGTTTTGTGGAGAACGTGAACATTGATTCATTCTTTCAGAAAAACATTTGATAACCTGAACACGATGAAATATGCGCGATAATGTTTGAAGAAGTGCGACTTGACTTTTTAAGTGACGTTTTCGCAGGCGCCGCCGTCGTTGTTGCTTAAGCTCTCTAATGGCATCACGTCAGCGTCTCAACGACGCCTTTTCGTATTTTGACGATCCAGCTTTTATATTTATTGTATTAAGCGGACTCTGATGATGAGGATTTTGACTTGATTCAGCCATCGCTGATCCAGCAATTAAGAAAAATCTTAGATGAATACCCAGACGACGGACAGGTCTTGAAGGTAAAGTAACCTTTTTTGCCAATATACCCTAGCAAATTAGCAAATGAATATTATTATGAAAAATAACCTTAATCTTAGAGCGAAGTTAAAGTGTAAGAAACTATTCTCATTAATCAGGGCAAGCTTTAAGAGACTGGGGCTCAAGTTCATTAAAAATCTTTTCGCCTCTAAAAAGAAAGGTCCTTCTCCCTGCCTCCCTCTCAGGCACTTCGTTTTCACGCAGAGGCGAGCGCGAAATACGAGGGACTGGTGACGAAGCACAAGGGCCCATGTGGGAAGGAGAAAGCACAGTTGAGAGACTTCTGTGTACGAGGCAGTCCTTCTCCGATAATTTTATCCAGACAGATCTATTAAATTGACGCTGTAGTCTATCCATGTCATGCTGTAGTTTCCAGTTGCTCCAAACGATGTCACAATAATCAAATAATGGAAGATAATGTTTACTTTTTTTCTTAGAGTAGTAATCTTTATACTGTTGACGGTTCCTCAATAATACCCACGCATTGCTCTGTAGACTAGTTGGATGTCTTTTGTTTTTCATTTTCAAGGAACTTATTCAAAATGCGGAAGATGCAGATGCCACACAAGTCAAATTCCTGCACGACAAACACAGCTATGGAACAGATAAGCTCTATAATGAGGAACTGGCAAAATTTCAGGTACCGCCTTCTCAGTTCGTTTTCACCTTAAACATGACCAAAGTGCCTAGACATGAGTTTCGTAGATAGTCTATCACAATGACTTTCCAATCCACCCTGCTCGTCCTTTTTTTCAAGACAGCCCCCCTAAATCTCTACCGGCCTTCTCTAACTTTCCGACCTTCTTGCCTCAAACAAATTGTTCTTTTTTTATGTAGTCATTCTCACTCCCTCTTCTGAGTAAATGGCCTGACAAACTCAACATCCTACGCCCAACCGCACCCACAACTCATGCCGATGCCGTCGTAAGCTTTTGATAAAGTTGCGAAATAAAGCTATATAGCTCGGTGGACACTCTGTTGATGGCCACTTCACCGTAGCGGGGGGTCTTGCTCTAGTCCTGGCAGATATATTCATCCTTGTTTCAAGGTCTTTTAAACGGCCTTCTTCCCTACGGCCCTCTGTGTCTGTTCTCAAGATGAGCCTTTTGAAAAGGTTCGACTATATTTGTGACGTCATATCAAAGGCATACAAAAAAATATGAGTTAAGGAACTTATATCCCTTTACTCGTATTCAGGGTCCAGCACTTTATGCCTGCAACAACTCGAAATTTACCAAAGAAGATTGGAGAGGCATCCGTTTGGTCTGTGATAGCATCAAAGTGGAGGATCCCATGAAAGTCGGTCGCTTTGGTTTGGGATTCAAATCTGTTTTTCACATGACAGGTAACGCAAAATACCTTCCAAGTAAGCCAAAAATAAAAATTGTTTTTTGGCGTTTTTTTTTTTATCGGTTGCGTTATCTGCTCCAAAAACGGTACAAAAGCGTGGCGACCTGCAATCTGCCATGTCAGCGTTGCGCGAAACCACTTAGATGTCGTCATCCTGACAACGACACTACATTGAGGTAGTAGTTCATACGACTTACTCAAGGCTTACAAAAATCGGTAGGTGGCCTGAACTGACGCAAAGCTGCTATGTTTGAAAAAAGGGTAGCTGTAACCAGACTTTACAGGCCTTTGTATCTAAACTATTCAATATACCGTATTGAGACCTTATCAGTAGGAAAATGTCTGTAATAGGTAGGTGTCGTCCCATTACAGTGGTGTCTGTAATAGAGAGGTGTCAGGATGGTGAGGTTCGAAAGTGATGCATATTATTAAAGTTTAGTAATTTACTTATACGTACGTGGCTCTTTCTCAACTCAGATTTGCCAAGCTTGATCAGTGATTCGCGGATTGGCTTTATTGATCCTCATGGCGTTCATTTTTCGGACAGGCGTCGCATACGAACAGGGAAGTACTGGCGATTTGACGAAGACCGTGCGACCATCGATACGTTTTCTGACCAATTCCTTCCTTATAAAGGCATATTTAACTGCACAGATGAAGTTTTCTCCCAGGGATTCTACGATGGAACTCTATTCCGTTTTCCCTTCAGACAGGAAACCTCGGACCTTTCAGAAACACTGTACAACGCAGATAAGATGACGACGTTGTTTGACAGTTTCAAAGCCGATGCTCCCTTAATACTCCTGTTTTTGCAGAGTCTGGAATCTGTTGAGCTTTATACCAGAGAGGAATCAGAGTCCAGCCCCAGAAGAATCTTTCAAGTGAAGATTGCGGAGAAATGCCTCACAACAGTTCGTGGGAAGAGAAAGGAGTTTCTGAAAAAAATAACACCTGGTAAAGTGATGCCCGAACCAGTCACTGTGAGTTACCCAGTGACCATTGAAACAATAAACTGCGAGACGCACTTGACAGAGAAACACTCATTCTTTGTTACAAACTACTTCTGTGGTGGGCAAGTATCTTCAACGTTCAAGAAGTTGATGACAGATAAGGATCTCAGCTATCTCCCCACAGTTGGTGTTGCTATGGCATTGCCAGGCGGTCCACAGTTGCAGACGCCTGATATCAAAGGCCACGTCTTTTGTTTCTTGCCGTTACCAATCCAGACGAAAAGCTTAACTGGTTTGCCTGTGCACGTCAATGGTTTCTTCGCTTTGAGTCAGAATAGGCGTTACATTAAGTCTCCAAATGCAGATCAAGAATATCGCCAGAAGGCAAGACGTAAGATGACTGATAAGTCCTTGTTATGGAACAAGTGTCTTCTCGAAGAAGCCCTTCCCAAGGCGTACGTCACCATGATTTTGGAAGCCATAAAGGAGAAGTCTGTTTTCATTTCCAGGACCGCTATCTATAAGTAAGCAATAACATGCCTAAATACAGCCCTAATCAACTTTGTTTGCCACTCAGTTTCATTACTCCTGTAAAAGATTCATCTTCAATCGTACGATTCTCGAAAAAGAATCGCTTACTTGCGTATACTTGAAAGATCTCAACGAGATATTTGGTGAAATAGAAAAAAGCAGCATGTCCTTCTATCTTCAACAGAAAGTGGAGCAAATGCAATTACTGTTTCTGAGTTGTTAGGTCAAGCAAATGACGTCTGTTGGATGGATAGAGACGTCTTCATTTTCTGTGCAGTTTCCGCGATCAAAGTCGTAGTCAGTCGTCCTGACTGAAGTTTCTTTTTATAAAAAAAAGCAAATTTTTTTCAACTCCAACTTAAGTATACGGGATAAGATTAACAATGAATGATAATCCTTAAATTATATTCAGAGAACGTAACATAAGAGTTTGTCGAAATGAATTGACACTTAGCTGAAAAGCTACTCAGTTTTACTGGAAAACTCTGAAAAGAATACTTGCAATAAAAAGATTAAATCCTACTTACTAAAAAATTATATTGTATTAGAATAAGACTATAACACCTTCAAATATACTTGTAATTAAAGTGAAACTCTTACAAATCATTGTTATCTGAGCTTAGAGGATTTCTATATTCACTGTGCTGTGCGCATTAACTGAATAAGTATGGCAGGTCTCTCATAAACCACCACCTACAGCGAAAGTGTGATCTCTTTTTGTTGTTGTTGTTCATATAAGGAGGTATTGCTCATTCAAGGTAAAGAAAACCGGGAGTCGCAATAAGTACGCGCATTTTGTATCTCGTTTCAGAGCGTGGCCTGATATCAACATTATAGACAAGCAGTGGAAAGGGCTTGAGGAACCTTTATTTCGGTTGCTTTTGGCAAAGAACGTTGTTCACACAGAAGCAAAAGGTGGCAGATGGCTGACAGTTTCAGAAGCGCTTTTTCAGCGTGGAACAGACCGCGAAGAATATCAGCTGCTTCTTGAGGTTCTGCTATCAGTCGGTGTCCCTGCTATCACTGTACCAAGTCATGTGCTGCAGGCTGTGGATATCTATGCACCAGGTCAGAAGGAAATCACGCCTCCTCTGACAAGACATGTATTAAGAAAGGTACCCTCATGCTACACCAGTCTTGATAAGACGGAGAAGTTGCTACTTCTCCAGTTCTGTCTCAGTGATCATCTTTTCGAAGATCTGGATAACCTAAAGCTTCTACCATTAGCCAACGGAACTTTTGCCAAATTTGACAGTCACACTTCCACAGTTTACATAACCTCTCCAGAACATCCTCAAGAACTGTTTCCAGACATACCTGAAAAATTTTTGCGGAAAGATTTAGAAGAAGATATTCTTCAAAACCTAAGAAGTGCAGCTTCTGAAGGTAGGCATAATAATAATTAAAAAATAGTAATACAGGACGTCGGCATCACCCATGGGTGGTTTTCAGACGAAACCTGTCACTAAGTTAAAACCATACTAAACAATAAAAACACTTAGTACGTAAAATAGATAGTAAAAAGTACATAGTCTCATTTTCTCTAACAAAATTATGCTAAAAGATGTAAAACAGCGTTTCTAAAAACTGCGAATACTTTCACTGTTTCTGACTTTAAGAGGAATATCGTTCCATTCTTTGAATAGAAGATATGAAGAACGTAGTTGGCCTTTACTACAACGAGGTCTATCATTTTTCAAATCACTGGCATGAGGCGTTTGGTAATAGTGGACTGAAGACCCAGTGCTAAAATTGATGATTGTGATCCGAAAGGCCATTAAGGTTCTTTTAAAAATATTGACACGCCGATGAATGTCCGGTCGAACCCGAAGATTGATCCACCTAAGTTCGAGAAACGCCTGAGTAGATGACGAGTGTACACAACGATTAAGAACAATCTTAGCCGCCTTATTGTGCAGTACCTGGAGGGAATCCATCAACACTTTATTATTCCTATCACCTCAGATAATATCACAGTAATAAAAAAACGGTGATACCATGGTACTAACAAATACATTACGAGCATAGATTGGAACCAGATGCTTAATCCTATGCAGATCGCCAAGTCTTTGATTAACCTTCTTGCTCACAAAATCAATATCAATGATTAGCCCAAAAGAGATTTTTGTTAATCATTATTCTCAAACACTTAAACGTACATTCTCTTTCCAAGATACGGTCAGCTTAAAATGTTAGACTTGGACGTGTTGAGAGTAAGTTTGTTTTCTTCCAGCCAGGCCACATTCGTCGGGTCAATATTTAGCTTGTGCTGCAAATATTCTAAGCAGGAGGAAGAATAGCACAGCGCTGCGTCATCAGCAAATAAGGGTATAGGTGCATACTGTAAGGCCTTGTGGATATCATTAATGTACATAAAAAAACAATAACGGTTCTAAAATGGGCCAGTGGAGAACAAGCACAGTCACGCGTCGACTGTTAGAAAGAGATCGACCCAATGAAGTCAGAAGGCGTCTCATTACTTGTTATTTCTTCCGATATTAAGTTCAATTCGTACTTAGGAAGGCCAATTTTGAACCAATCCTAAATCGAGCCATCCGCTGGAGCACTTCTTTCTTGGCGTTTTAGTTTAGGTTTCTTTTCTTTGATAAAGAGCATTTTGCAAATAACGCAATCCAGCTTTCCACGGCATTTTTTCAGGGTTTTCATCGCCAAATGTTTATATTCGTTGAGACATTTTAAAAGGTTGAGGCATGTTTAGCCTACATATATAACTCGCGTCATAATAGAAAATCAATAAGATTGCTAAGCGTTTTTTTTTTTCAAACGGACGTGCTAATGATTATTGTGTTTAAACACACTAGGACAAACTCAACTACAACTCCTTAGAAGTCATCACGTACCTGAACTTCTTTGGCAGTCGCTTCCGCAAGACTGGAAGAAAGGCGACTCAATCTTGTGGTATCCAGATAGCCCCAGTCACCATCATCCTTCACGGACGTGGATTCATTCGCTCTGGAATTATCTGCAACGCCATTTTACAACTGAGAGGGATATTCGAAAACTCGAAGGACTACCTCTGATCCCACTGAGTATGTCTCAGACACCTGTTACCTTAACTCGTCTCTGCCGCCCAAGTAGGACTGTTGTCAAACAGTTGAATGACGAATGTATTGATGAAATCTTGGCAACTGTGTTAAAAAGGCTCTGCGTTATTGTACTGCATGGTCTGCCGACGTTCATAAGCTACCATCCAGGTGTTGTGGGAACCTATGTGAATTTACCAACTGTCCCGGGCGCTGTGAAAGCAATGATGACAACTGCCTCATCTTTGCCCTCAGGAAGATTTCTAGAAATTATTCAAAAAGAAGTTTCCATTAAAGAAAAGCTTTCTTTGAGATCATTTCTTGCAAATGTCCGACCATCTGACGTAGTAAAGGAGGGATATAGCGCCTTCTTGTGCTCCCTTCCCATTTTTGAGACTCTCTTCAAGAGGTTCGTTTCAAAGAATGATGGCTTAAGTGCTGCGCGTGTTAAAGCTCTTCCGGTTCCCCCACTGCATGATCTTATTGATATTTCAAACGACGATTCCAGGATTTTAGCACAACTCTTAGAAATCAGGATTCTACAGCCTATTGATGTTCTCTGCAAAATGATCTTTCCGGACATAAATGAAGGACACTACAATGACGAACAAATTGATAAGGTGATGTTCTACGTGCTTGGATGTTTTACACATACTATCCTTCAAAATGATAGCTTCAAGCGGCAAGTACAAGCTTTATCCTTTGTCCCAAAGAAGAGAGAACGGGTTATGGCGTCAGGTGTGTTTGATCCCAGAAACGACACACTGAAAAGGATATTTGCCCAAGAAGACGTCTTTCCCGTTGGTGAAATGTACAATGAACCAACCACACTCGTTATTTTGGAGAAGCTTGGAATGAAAAACGAATCCAACGTCACTGCCAGAGACCTCTTTCACAGTGCTAATCAAATAAGCAGACTTTCACAACACCAAACAGCAATACAGAAGTCTAAGGCAATTTTACACCATCTGAACACTCATCCCAAGATGCTGAGGGAAACAGTCGATGGAAAAGAGCTGGGATTGTTACTGATGAAAATTCAGTGGCTCACACGATTGAGACAGAAAGCATCACGTTTTCCTCCTTCGCTTGCGTTGTGGAAAACTAAAGAAGGATATGAATGCTTTTTCAAGCCAACTGAGCTGAAGAGTCCTGCACTGGTGAATCTCATTGGAACTGTTAAGCCCGTTGTAGAGCTAGAGCCATTACATGAAGTTTCTGAGTACTTTGGCTGGCAAAAGCTCTTTTTCTCTGATGTCGCATTGCAGCTGCGAAATGTAATACATTGTTATTCCAAAGACGAGAAACCATGTTACATGGTTATATTAAACGAAATTTACTCCTTCCTCAGTCGTGGAAACTACCAAACCTTAACTGACGCATTTCAGAGAGCAGGCATCGTCAACTGGGTATGGAATGGAGATGGCTTTTCCTCACCTGACCAAATGCTTTCCAGTAAACCACGTATTGATCTTGCGCCCTACATACGTCCTCTTCCCTCTGAGCTGAAGAGGTTCATCCTCCTTTTTGGTTGTTTTGGAGTTAAATCACAGAGTGATTCAACTATCCTATTACAAGTTCTCCACGCGATCAAAAAAAAGTATGACTTTGGACTGTCGTCATTGTCAGATTCTGAGGTACATCACGACGTACAGTTATCTGTTGGCATATTAAACGAGTTAGCACAAGAAGAATTACCCCCAGATATTCAGGAGAAGATTGTGATTCCTATTTACATCGACGACAACAAATATGTACGACTTGAGCCAGTGGAGCGCTGCATGTACAGTGAAGAGAGCGATTGGCTGATGAACGGAGGCGACGATGAAGATATGGACTACTTCTATGCGCACCCCAATGTTCCTCACCTCACTGCTCAAAGTCTTGGGGTTCCTTCTCTTACAAATCGAATGTTGGATCCTGACGAGCTGTTCATAGGAGAACCATTTGGCCAGCATGAAAAGCTTACTACTCGTCTTAATAAACTATTAGACGACTACACCGATGGATTTGCAGTGCCAAAAGAGCTCATTCAAAACGCAGATGATGCAGGTGCTACTGAGGTTAGATTTCTTTACGATGAGCGAACTAATCAGGATGCCATAACCTGCCTCCTTGACGAAGGGATGAAAAGCTGTCATGGTCCCGCTTTATGGGTGTACAACGATGCAACGTTTAAAGATCAAGACTTTGTTAACATCACGAAACTAAATGAAGCAACCAAAGCGCAAGACACCGTAAAGATCGGCAGATTTGGACTTGGATTCAATGCAGTGTACAACCTGACAGATGTGCCCATGTTCGTCAGTAAGAACTTTTTGGCCATTTTTGATCCTCATACTTCATACCTGGGAAAGGTGATCAGAAACAAAGGAAGACCAGGAATTAAAATCAATCTAAACAAAAACGTCAAAGGACTGAGAAAATTCAAAAATCAGTTTAAGCCCTTTAATGGCATCTTTGGCTGTGATTTACATCTTGATAAACAGGACAATTCATTTGATGGAACCCTTTTTCGATTTCCACTGCGGACGAGAGATCAGGCTTCAGCGAGTGAAATTAAGAACTTATGGTACAACCAGCAGCAGATGCAAGAATTGTTGAAAATGTTTCTCCGCGGAGCTAAGAATGTACTTCTTTTCACGCAAAATGTTCTGCGTGTTGGATTTTATCACATGCCGAACACGGAAAGCCAAGATCCGCAACCCACACTGATGTTTCAGATCACGAAATCAGCATCCCATTCTGGAATCCTAAGAGAACTGTCTTTTACATTTACTCGTTTTCCAACTGCATTTAAGCTTTCTCCAGAGGAAATGGGTTTTCTTCAACAGTGCAACTTTCTTCAAGCTTCATCAAAAAGCAAGATGTTGGCACATGGCACAAAAGTCGACCCCACGAAGCTTCCAAAGTCGTCCATGATAATTGACGTCGAGTGCAGGTTAACAAAAAGTGGTTCTGATTTCCTTCATGGCGGTTTCCATACGGAAAAGCTAACATGGCTCATTGTTTCGTCTATGGGGAATGGCCAAGCCCTGAACTTTGCAAATGACGATGCCAGTCTTCTTCCATCAGCGGGAGCAGCCGTTCAGTTGCTGCCAAAAGAGTCAAACTCTTTCTTGCCCTTGCCAGTTTCGAACACATTCAATGGTTTGGATCTCAAAGGCACTATATTCTGCTATCTGCCACTACCAATTCACAGTGGTCTACCAGTTCACATAAATGGGGCATTCGCCTTAGCCTCGAATAGGCGCCATTTGCAAATGAAATTGGAAGGCGATATGCCGTGCCATGGAGTGGAATGGAACAATGTGCTGCTACAAGACTCCGTGGTGTCTGCTTTCTTAGATCTTCTCGAAGATATGAAAGGTCTCTCTCCCAAAGATGGCTCATACAAGTTCCATTGTTTATGGCCAAAGACGTCAGAAGTTGAACGAGATTACTTGCCACTCGTTGTGTCGTTCTACACACAACTCAGCAGGGGTCGCTATTCTCTTTTCTCTAATGGAAAACAATGGGCTGACATCAAGCAAGTCATTTTCCTCGATCCATATTTCCGGAAAAAGCCCTACGTCGGGAAGGCTGCGAATGAGGTTCTAAAAATGTGTCACAGGGGGAGAGAAATAGTCATAGACTTACCTTCCGATATTTTGCATTCTTTCGAACACTGTCGCCTGGAGAAAGTAATCGGTACTAGAAAATATAGCAAGAACAAATTTTTTCTTGAAGTTTTCTTTCCAAACGTTCACGTTCTCCCTGCCAATCTTAGAGATGTCCTGACTCTACATGCTTTAGATGACAGAAATGGGGAGTTCTTTGACTTGATAAGGCTGCACCCTTGTGTCCCATCTTCACCAACTGGTAACACTCTAATGACTCCTAGCCAACTCGTTCATCCATACGGAGAAGCAGCGTCACTATTTTCCCCTGACGATGGTAGATTTCCTTATGGAACTGAAGAATCGTATGCTCACCCACAAAGGCTGACCAAACTTGTAGAACTGGGAATGTCATTGAATGATCTTCCTTGGTCCGAGCTATCAGAAAGAGCCGAAAGCATCCAACAGATAAATTCAGTTAGCACTAAAGAGGCATTAACCCGCGTAACGGTATTGTTATCTTTTATGGAGAAGAAATTAATTCACCAAGGCAAACCTGTAACTCAGATTTCTACTCGCCTGTTAAACGCTAAATTTCTACCCATTCTTCCAAAACCAAGAGAATTTCCTCTTCCGTGGAAAGGAGAAGAACTTCTACAAAATTCGAAAGTACTGCTAGCACCTAACGAAGCCTTCCTAGAGGAGGAAAAGTTCTTAGTTTGCTGCACAGAACCTGTAATTGGCGTTTCAGTACCAAAAAAATTAAGAAGCCTGTTACATCTGGATGAAAAGGGAATCACATTGAATCATGTGGTACAACAACTGACAGCAGCAGTGTCCGTCAAAGTAGATCTGCTTAATACAACCGAGTACAAGGAACTGCGCCTCGTCTGTACCAATCTTTATTCATGTCTTCAGAACTCTCTCGACCATTACAGTGATGAAATCATAGCATTTCTTAAAGGAATAAGTTTTATTCTTGTCGATAGGAGGTTTCTTTCTTCAAATCAGGTTGCATTTACATTGCCTGTTGATTGCGCTCCGTATCTGTTCCAAATTACGCATGAATTGGCATTGTCTTTTACCCCATTACTGAGAGCAGTTGGTGTTAAGAACAAATTCGATGAACAGAATTACATTTCAAGCCTACAGAAAATAAAGGAACGAGTTAGAGAACAGCCCTTGGATGAGCAAAACCTTCAAGTTGCAACACATCTCGCAAAGCTACTAGGTGAAACTATCGATCCAGCTAAAACAAACCGACAGTGGGAAATGATATACCTCCCCGATTCCAGAGGACTAATGCGGCCTGTATCGGACCTTTGTGTTAGAGACTGCATCTGGTTACCAGACGAAGAGGGAGTGAACTTTGTGAATGACAAAATTCCTTGGCCAATAAGCTGGAAGCTAGGAGTTAAAACACGAAAGCAAGAAGCCCTGAGAACTCATGTATCTAGAATTCCCTTTGGGCAGCGAGAGAAACTCGCAAACCGCTTGAAAAGAATTTTAACAGGTTATCCTTGTGAAAAGGAAATTTTGAAAGAACTCCTTCAAAATGCTGATGATGCACAGGCAACTGAGGTTTGGTTCATTAAAGATCCTCGACACTATCAAGATGAAAAAGTTTTTGAAGACATTTGGAAGCCTCTTCAAGGTCCTGCGTTATGTGTGTATAACAACAAGCCTTTCAGAAATGAAGACATTGAGGGAATACGCAACTTAGGCGAAGGCAGTAAAGGAGATGATCCCAACAAGACTGGCCAGTATGGAGTTGGATTTAATGCTGTTTACCACTTGACTGATGTACCCTCTTTTATGACAAAAGTTGAGGATATTGGAGAGGTTTTGTGCGTATTTGACCCAAACTGCAGATATGTTCCTAACGCTACACCTCAAGAACCCGGAATGCTTTTCAAGGACCTCAAGCACCTAAGAAAGCGATTCCCTGACGTATTTCCTTGCTACCTGGAAAATCATTTTCAAATTGAAAATGGCACAATGTTCAGATTTCCTCTGAGGACAAGAAAGATGTCCGTGGATTCTCAGATATCAAAAAGGGTTGTGACCCTTGAGATATTGGACACAATGCTGGAGGACCTAAAAAAAGAATTGTTCGAAGTCCTCTTATTCATGAACAATGTAAAAAAGATCACCATCTGTGAGGTTCACAAAACTACCGGAGAACTTTGTAATTTTTACTCTGTTGAGACTACAATGACAAAAGAGGATGAGGTCAAAAAGCAGGCGTTTAGGGAAAGGATCAAACAGGTTGGAACGTATTCCCTTCCAATTGATATTCCAGCAGCGAAAGTGTCTTACGTGCTGAATATTTCAGACAGTTTTCACGACCGAGAGAAATGGCTCATTGTGCAACAGGTAGGATTTCAGAAGGCGCTGAAAAAGAGTATAGTTAATGCCTTCAAGAGAAACGAGCTGAGAATGCTTCCACGTGGTGGCGTTGCCTGTATTTTAGAAAAGAATTCAAAAGACCATGAAGAGCGAGGAAAGAAAGCCTACTGTTTTCTTCCACTTCCATTTGAAACAGATCTACCAGTGCACATCAACGCGCATTTTGCACTGGACCACGAAGCAAGGCGAAATTTGTGGAAAGACGAAGGGGGTGGATATCGCAGTGACTGGAACAATGCCTTACTAGGAGATGTGGTGGCCTCATGCTATCTCACACTATTAACTGAAGTGCGAGCTTTCCTTAAACTGCCCATCTCTAAAGACGGAAAACCTTGCACCTTAACGTGTTCCGAAGGTGAGGTTTTGCAAAGCATCAAAGGCTACGAAAGCATCTTTCCACTCAAGCCACCTTCGGATCCCTACTGGGAGACACTGGTAGATTCTCTTTACGCTGAAATGGTCAGCAACGAGGTCAGACTTTTACCAGTAGTAAGAAACAAACATTCGGATGCAGTGTTTCCAGGAGGCGAAGGCACGAACATTGTTGAGCTTAGTTGGTTTCCACTTGTTGGGAAGGGGAAAAAACAAGCGGCATTCTTTAATGACCTTACTGAAACAGGTCCTTTTGCCAGTCTGCCACAGAGGGAAGGAAATGAACTCCAGACAAAGGCAAGAAGAAGGTTTGAAGAAGTATTACTTGAAAGTGGCTTCAACCTGGTAGCCTTCTCCTTGAAATTGCATAAATCACTTACACGAGCTGGAATTCGCACGTGTACTGTTACCCCGAGTTCAGTGGTTAATTTCTATAAATCTCTCACTTCTCGAGATCCATTGTGTAAGATTGGAACTATCCCCTGCAATGTAAGCGAAACACCCTTTGGAGATGCCCTTGGGGTCATTCTTGTACTGTTGTACTGTAAACGAATGAGGAATTTTGCTCGTGAATTGCCAGATCTTCCACTACTTTTGACACAGGACGACCGTCTTAGACTCTTCTCAAGCGAGGACCCCAAGTTTCTTTCGAGATTTCAGGATATCTTGCCTGGTTCGCCGCAGGTATTTGTGCATGTGCACCTTGACCAGAAGGTATTCAACGATACTGAAATCTTAAAATCAACGGTAGTGAGGTCTTTAGATGTAGATGGATTCTCAGCTAACCTGATCCAAACACTGGAGGTTGAGCGGTACGGAAAAGGTCGTTTTGTAGAGTGGTCTTGGAATGAAAAAAGTCTTCCCAACCCACGATGGATATCTAGAGTGTGGATTTTTCTTAGTGACATTTTCTCCAAAGTTCTTTGTGATGAAAGCCTGCCTGAACAGACCAAGTCTTCCCAGATTAAACCTGCTCTTGCATCTCTTGCTAACTGGAGTATCCTTCCAGCCACTGAGTCTAAAATCGAAGCAAGAACAAGCCCTTTTCTTCCATTAAGTATAAGTATACCTCGAACTTATACCCAGTTACTCGTTCCTTTGTCTCAGACAATGGCTGTTCTTGATTACAGAAGTTCAGATGCTGCCAATAATAGTCTCTTGGAAGTGTTAAAGAAACTCGGTGTACCCGAACTAAACTATACTGTGCTGACAAACTTGGGCTCAGCAGTTCGGCTTGCACCTTTTTTGGTTTCTTCCCTGAAGGTTCCTTCCTCTCTGCTTACTGCCCTCCACCATAAGATTGAGAGAGACCCTCAGTCACCTAAAAGACTGGACGCCAAGGACTGTAAAGCAATTTTGGAGTACTTCAGTAGGAGTGTGGCACGCCTTCATGAGGCAGACAAAAGCAAACTGAAAAGGCTTCCTTTCTTCCTAGCGACGCATGGTGGCTTTGTACCACTTGATAGTGATCACCGTGTTTGTGTCCTTCCAGTTGGGATACCGAGAAAGGAAATTGAAAACTTAGAGCGTCACCTAAAGTTAGTCTTCACTGAATCCTGGCCAGTTCTCTCAAATTTGTTAAAATTCCTGGATCTCGAGTGCGTCTCTGCCGTAGACGTGTACTGCGCTTACATTCTGCCAACATTTGAGATCTTCAGCCAAGAAGGGAGGCTAGTACACTTGGAGTACATTCGTAAATACCTTCTTTCAGAATTTTTAGCGGAAGATGATATGGAAAAACAAAGGCTTAGGAGCTGTTTGAAAGCAACTCCATTTATCCCCTCCATAAATGGAACGCTTCAAACTGCATCCTCATTCTACGACCCTGGCGTTAACGTTTTTCGCATAATACTCCCGCCAACCAATTTCCCTTTGAAACCACTTAATTCGCCAGAATGGTTAATGGTTTTAAGGACAATAGGTTTAATTCATCAGGTCTCCCATGATCACTTCAAGAAATTTGCAAGAGAGGTTGCACACGAAGCCACTACAGCGCAAACAAAGAGGACATTTGAGAAGTCACTAGTTCTAGTAAAACATCTTCTCCACCGACACAATGTAGTGGCTGAAGGTCTGTTACCTGCCATATCCGACATAGCTTTTGTAAGCAGCGAGCCGGCAAGAAAAGGTCTCCGAGAACTTTGCCCGCCATATCAGGGAATGAGGGATGACCAGATTCCATTCTGTGCATTCAAAGGGGCAGTTCCATCGGAGTATGCTGAAATTGTTTGGACACAGGCCCATTTACTTCCACGTTGGGCAGATCCAATAACCTGTCGCCGTGAACTTAGCTGTCCCCCCAAAATGAGCACTGATAAATACTGCAAGACTTTTATTACTCAACTTCAAATTGTTGCAGAGCCATCTCTAGAACTTGTTGTTCGTCATTGTCAAGCCGTTTGTCACTCTCAAGAAAACAAGGATGACGCTAATATTTCCTCACTTGAGCAACGAACGACTTTAAAGGCAGTAATGGAACGCATTTACGAGTTCTTGCAGACAAAGCTGAACACAGGGAACGACGTGAGAAGCCTTATGGTAAAAACGCCATGCGTTTTGGTCGAGCAAGGGAAGAGATTTATTCTTCCACAGCAGGTAGTGCTCGAATTGTATGAACATCTCGAAATCAAACCCTTTCTATACAGTCTACCTCGAGAGTTTGGCAAGTTTCACGCTTTATTTCATGCGCTTGGCTGTTCCAAGTATGTCTCGATTGCCCACTACGCTATGGTCTTACAAATGCTGTACCTGAAATCTAACACCGACAAACTACATCCGAATGAGATGAAAGCATGCGTTAAAGCAGTGAAAGGTTTTTTTCAACTGCTTGAGGAAAGCGCTGGAGAGTTGTCGAGCGTTCCACAGCTTTACCTTCCAGGAATCCCCTTAAGGGGAACGTCCTTAGTTGAGGCGGAGGGAGTTGTACCAGTGACATTACGACAGTCTTCGTCCTTGGTGTTTTTTGATGCCTCCCCATCCTTCCATGATCGTCTGCAGAATTTTGACCATCTTCTGCTTGACCTGAAATCAATGAAAGTGACTTGCGGCTCTGCCATGACGAACCACAAAGAGCTAGTGATGAAATTGCCAACTGCATTACGACCCAAAATGCTATCCAGTTTGGTTAAGGAAACACTCTCCTCGAGGAATGAGATGTCAACTTTGTCCGTTGAAGCTGCGAATTCTCTCATACACAAGCTGACCTGCCCACAGTTCATTGCTGCGATTGTGAGACTAATACGGGACGAGAACCAGAGCAGGAAAGATATAAACGACGCTGTTATTGCAATGGTCGAGAGACGCCTTCGAAGAATTGATATCTGCATTGTAGAGAACCTCCAAAGTGTCTTACTTTGTGACGACAGTCCTATTCAGGGCAGCCAAAAGAGAGTATCTTCCTTCCTAGAGAGTAGTATTATCTCAGATGAAGAGAAGTGGACGGTCTATCTCGATCTGCTATCGGTGATGAACGAAACCTTTGCACATATTTCCATACTTTCCGACGTAATTGTAAACGTTTTGGAGGGTCTTCTTGTAAAGAGAGCACTGATGGTCCCTCGTTTGTTGGATTGTGACCCCCGTGACATGTCTGGGTTACTAGATGCTTTTCATGTACCTTCGGATGACTCCTACGTTCCTCGGGAAGAAGTTGATATCTTTCCAAAAATTGGCACTTTTATTCCACTTGTAGACCATCACATGTTAAACGACGCCTTTGAAGAATTTGAGCCTGGTGAATACGTTGGTTTTGAGCTCGAAGATCCAACTCTAAACCACGAGAGGGGTGTTCCAACTTACATCTATGCAAGAGTTGTCAGGGAAGTGACAGAGAAAAGTTTTTCTCTCTTGACGAAGAGATTCAAAATCGACATTGGCGGTGGCCAAGAGTTAGTGGTTGATGTGGCTGACCTTTACAAGTTCCATCGTTGGTCAACTATATCATCAACGATAGTAGTGTTTGAACCTCAAGAACGAAGCCCTCCTGAACGACGTAGAAGCAGAAACCAACAAGAGGTATTTGATGAGATCTCGAAACTTCTAGAAGATGCGTGGAAGTTGTCAGAGGAGAAACGCCGAAAAATCATCAAGCGGCTCTATCTGCAATGGCATCCTGACAAAAACGTGGATGATGAGGAATTCTGCACAGAAGTTTGCAAGCATATCCAGAGTGAAACTTCGAGGATGGAAAGAGGGGAGCCTCGAGGAAGTCAGCAAAGGTCAGACGTTGGCCTCAGCCGAGGTCAGCATGGCTCATACGGCCAGTTTTTTAATCGCTGGGGAGAACGCGCCAGGGAACATCACACACAGCGCGAAGGATATAGATCCAGACAGCAATCCTCTCGAAACTCTACCAGAGCGAGGAATCCTCAACCTGGAGAAGCCAAGCGATGGCTCAGGCAGGCTGAGGCTGATATAGCAGCAACAGAGAATGACATTTTCTACCAAAGACCCTCCTATGAATGGGCGTGTTTCAAATGCCACCAGGTAAGCTGAGAACTGTACGGGTTACCTTGCTCCCTTTGCTCGCTTTGATCCTTTTTGCCCCCCTTTTCGCAAAGTATGTTCTTGAGTCGGCAACAATTTTTCCCAGTCTCTCTTTCAACTTGAATGACTCGACAAGTTTTGGAAGCGGACCCCTGAGAGTACTAATGGAGTGATGCATTGTCTAGGGTATGAGCTGTAAAACGTATTTTCCACTCGCATAATGTACACAGTATTTGACACGAATGACCTAAAACATCGAGAAACTTGGTATCGTGGTCTCTCTAAAGACTTAAGCAACTGACGAGGACTTAGAAGAAGATACTTATTTTGTAAATCGCAGAAGAAAAACAGTGTTTTAAAATTAAATGGAAAATATACAATAGATTTTTCTTAATTACGATAAGACAAAACATTTGTTCTGCTGAAAGGAAATAATTTTTGTCATAGGCGGCAGAGAAGGCTCTCAAAGCTGCACAATACGCCATAGATGTGGAGAGGACAAACGTACACAACTTACTGCAGATTTGCCAAGAGTTAGAAGACTCTGAATTGACCCAACTAGCGCGTCAGTTGGAATGCCTTGTGGTTAATTCTGCACGCATGCGCTATCCAGATAGAGTGTGCTTTCCCAAAATCCCAAACGAAGTGTACTCGGCTGACATGGCAGAAGAAGCCTTGCGGTTGGCGAAGAAGATCGCCCAGCGTGTTAAGAATCGATTAATCTAAGGTTTGTGCGATGGGGAAAATGATTCTAATGTATTGCTATAAAATGATGAACGCCGATATCACCTAAGCTAGGTAAGGAGCTTCTACGGTTCTAGGGAGGTAGCATTGTCAAACGGGTAAATAAAATTTGTATTTACTTTCAACGCGAAACTGAACGGTTACTTATCTTACAATTATATTGCCCTTTCAGTTTACTCCAACAAATGTAGAGGTAGACGCATTCAATTTTATACATATAAAAAATATGTCTCATTAACTGTACTAACAAACACTTTTTTCCCTTTCTATAGGTCGTTTCGAAGCTACTGGTGATGCACTTTACTCAAGGGCAGTCAGCATCCCAATTTAAACGTAGTGATTTTAAGAAAACTAAACTTATTTATTTGATAGTTTAACTTTTAGTAGCACCGTAGACGATGCATACTTGAAAAGATTGAAGTTGAGCCAGAAATGATCATGAGAACAAAGTTAGACACGGAGTGCCGCCTATCAACAACAAAAACATGATTTTTAATACATAGCACAGTTGAGTATCCACACCATTTCTGGACCCTCCCTCTCTACCACGCAACAGAAAGAGAAGGGCCAGAAGTGAAATACGTTAAGGCCACGAAGTTGTTTAAGAAATTATCTTTATTTACAAGAGTACGAGATATTCCGTTTTGATCTTCTTGTTTTGTATAGGTATTAAATGCGCCTGACAAAACATCGTAATTCGATGAAATCAGTTTCCGACCGTCAACTTTTGGAAGAAAAAATCAATCGACAGGGTCCGAACGTTTTGCCCTTGTTAGTTATATCTCAGTATAGTTGACTTCATGAGATTATTAGAGTTAACTAATAGCCACATACTAAATAGAAACCGTTAGAAAATTTGTAAAAGGTCAGATAGTCAGTAATGCTGTGATGGATGGCATTTGGAACAAGAAGAAATCTAAGAAAGCTGAGAATAAATTCCGAGCTTCAGGTGAGAATCAAACTCCCAACCCTCCGAGTTCTAGTTGGAGTGCTTTTTTCCGTTGTATTTTCGCCATTCGACATTTCAATATTGAACGCTCCGCAGATTATATGCACATCAGTAACTTAGCGTTAACCAATTCAGTACAGATAATTCCAGAATGTAGTCTATTACGCAAAAATTGCATAGCCCGGCATGAAGGAAGAATAAAACAGAGACAAAACAAACTTTGTATAATTTTGGGTAGCTTCATTAAAGGGGCTATGTCACGGCAGACTGGTTCATTTTGTTTAATTTTGCCAATTACTGGCCCTCAATCGCTATGGAACTTAAAGTAAGCAAAGAAATTACATGTAAATGACGAAATCAGAGATCCGAGACAAACAAATATATCCCCTGAGCATTGTTTTTGAAGTTGCAAGCAGCACGGATCAACTTTGAAAAACTGTTAGGCTGAACAGTTTTCAAAAACCCTAATTTCAATCCGTTTCAATCTTCTTCAGTTTTGCCCATCGGCGGCATCTGTTGTTTGTGTTATGTTATTTTAACCTTCCTTTAATGTTTTAAACGGTTTTTTTTGTTTCTATTGATTTAACGAGCATTTTGTAATTTCCTAATTTGGCTGAATTTCGTGACACAGCTCCTTTAATGCCGTTTTTTTTTCATATATGGAGACCACTGTTTTGGATTTTATAGGCGTTTTCCTTAGGTTTGTGATTTCTTGATTGCTAATTTTTTTATTCCTCAGTAAAAGTAAAAAATAATAATTATACTGAAGATTCAAGGATACGGTGTCTAAAAGGGGAGAGAGTGGACCACGAGAGCAACATAACCTGCAACTGAGTTGTATTTTTCAGAGAAAACTTGTTATTTCTTTTCACTCAGGTTTTGATCAGTACGCTAGAGAAGAAAGTACATAGCAGTTGCTCTTTCCTTCCTATACCATTATAGCATTAAACACACCATTTTTGTTAACTGTTAAGGAGACTTTTAAAAAATAAGTTAGAATTTCTCAAATATGCATTTAAATATAATTACACTCCTAACTTTTTACAAATAAATCGTTGTTTTTTTCCTTCATTTTCTTGTCCTTTAATTTGTGTTTTATTTTAAAGTTACCATTTCGTTATTTCTAAATTTCCTCGCAAATAACTTTTTGCAAAAGTTGATTTTAAGGTGAGGGAATCCAAATGTAACATATACTGAAATGCGCAGCCATTAAGTAATGATGAGTTTTTTTGGCCTTTTTAAATCCAAAAATAACGTGAATTGGTTTAAAGCTTAGGCCCAAAATGAGAAGTGTGAGGTGTCCATGTGTTGGTGCAAGAGTCAAGTTCTCCTGAGACCATACATCAAGCATTGAGCAATCTCATTTGTGGCTAAAACGAGTAAAGATGCATCTTTTTTAGCAACGGAAAAGCAAGGTTTAAAGCAACTTGTTTAAGGCAAGTTTTTTTTTAAAAATGTCTGCTGTATATACATGGGTTATTGAGCGAACATGAGGTCAAGATAAGTAAACATTGGCAGATTGTTTTGAAGTCATAAGGTCTTGAAAAACGTGAAACAAAAATGAACGGGGGCACTAGCCAGCAACCTTTAAGGGACAAGCTTTCCCATGCATTATTTGTTATATGGTCAAAGGAAAACGTTTCCTCGCAGAGACAACACTACTGTGTCTGTAAGATTTTAGAAAAGTGACTCTTGTAATGTGATATTTGAAACAATTCGTGCAAAGAGTATAACGAACTGGATTCTGTTTGCTTAACACCATGAATCCGGACGAGCGGGGATGAACTGCTATTAACTGTAATGTTCCAAGGAACTCTTTCGGGCAAATTCTAAGAGATTGCAATGGGAAACTGAGATCTAAGATCGCATTAAAAGGGATTAAAATTTTGAAAATTTGCTGTTTTAAATGAACCATTAATTTATAGGTGATTTTCTTGAACCTTCTCGAGCCTGGGAAGTATGTCGAAAAATTTCTACCAAATTTATTGTTTGTCTTGAATATCAATTGTAGGCGAGTCAACTTATCTATATGATTAAAATGGCGGTTTTAAAGCAGTTAAGGAGGAAATAAAACATTTAAATACGTAACAAATGACTGAAAATCAGCAACCCTTTTATATATCTTTGATGAGAGAAAATGGCCCCTTTCTCACATAATTCAGTATTGACCAGGGCCCAGTTGTTCGAAAGCCGATTAGTGCTTAACCCGTTTCTTTTTCTTGTGTTCAAAAGCATTATCTCGGATAATTTTCTCTGTTATTTTTTAGAGCGTTCAATCATCAACTTGTGGACAAAAAGAATTACAACTGAAATGCTTTCTAAGCTTTCAAATCTGAATTCAAATCTCGCACTAACCCTGGGTTATCTTAACCCTGCTTTGAACAACTAGGCCCTGAGGTAAATCTCGTCCATTTCGGGAGGAAATGGAACTGGATAAACATAGAAATACTGTAGAGTAGTACGGAGAACTTTTTTAACCGATCTGGTTTTTCTTATTTAAAATTTCGATTGCTTCTATCCTCGCCTCATCGCAAAGTTTCTAGGTGCTCCTGAGTGACGTCCCTCATTTGAATTAACGGCATACAAGCGCGACGGAACGCTTTCGTCTAACTTATGGCGTCGATATCTGTGGTGGAGTTTCACGACTTCAAGAAAAGTCTCTCTCCACGCCACGCCTGCGAGGATATCTGGAATGGATATAGAGATGCCCAAATCCTCAAGCGCGGCGCGCATATGTAACTGCGAAAAAAATGCTTTTGTTGGAAAGTGGATCTCCATTATGTCATAAAGCGATGCCGTGAATGAGAGGAAAGCCATACATTACGTTTCATGCTGTAATCGATTCAAAGGCAGGAACGCCATGGCCACCAACAAGACATAAGCTTGAATGTGCGGGCACCAATCAGATTTCACCTAAGCTCGGATAAAGATCGACAAAAGGTGGAAAGAAAAGTCACATATTTTTCCATGATTTGTTAAAAAAATATGAACAGGGCATACAGCTATTTTAATTAACGATGCCGGGTTTGAGCGACAGGCAAGGTCATGTGGTTAGCTGTAACATTTGGTCTCAATTTAGCGGTTGTTAGTGCCAAAGAATAGAATAATGGTAACAAACGTCTACGAGAGCAATTTTATGACAGGGAAAATTTGTTTCATGGCTCCAAGTTGATGAGCTGTATACAGAAGCCGATAGCTGTATGCCTCTCATAACAGCCAAGTCTTGGTCACACGCCAGCAGGTGCAAACAACCGGATCGATTTCCGTGAAATCTGCCCAGACAAGCCGTTTCTGCTATTGTTACTTTCCCGGAATTCATCAGATTCAGGGCCTCTTCATACGAGCCCGGTTGACCGTGCTGGCTCAGTTACCGGGATGAATTTTGCCTTGGATTCATATGAGAAACTTGAGCCCGGTTTCCGAGATAAGAAAAGGTCAAAGATCCTGGGAACGAGTTCCTGCGCCAAATTCGGGAAACAAAGCAAACATGCCGAAACACAAAATTTTAACTTTCGGGCCTATCTTACCATCGGTAACTCTTAAAGCTGTATCACTGCAGTTAAATGGGATGCTTATGATGTGGAAAATACAGCAGGCAATGCAAGACGATGCCATCTGGACCGCCAGAATTCATTCCGCCATTCATCCGGGTAACTGGGATGAAGTGTTCATATGGCAAAATTTCCATCCCGCTTACCGAGATCTCGGTTGGAAGAACCGAGATCTCGGGAACCGAGCCAGCCCGCCCTCTCATATGAACACATCGAAACTTTTACAAAGGATTTAGAGGTGAGGTGAGATCTCGGAAACCGGGGCCAACCTGGTCAACCGGGCTCATTTGAAGAGGCCCTCAATAACAACGGCTTAAGAAAATAGATTTACATACATGACGGTTGTTCATCATTTACATGGGCAAGTTATTTCTCTGTTTATTATAGTTGGGTTGGACTTCACACATTAACACATGCATTAACTTAAACTTTGTTTCGTGATATCAGGGTAAAATAGCCGTGATGAGGACATCCGTAAGAAATATGATGGCTCTCAACAAGGCTCGCCCCCAAATCGCCTATTATTTTGAGGACACTCGATAAACAAGTAAAAGTGTTAGATGGTAAGAGTTGATAAGGAGACACTGTTTTATCCCTTAAATACAAACACAGAAAAGATTAAAGTTTTGTTCATTTACCTGAAACCACCCTCAAGAAAAATTCTACTTAAAAGATCTTTGCCAACATATTTATTTTTTTTTTTTATTCAAGACATTTATTACTATAATTACAAAGAACTACTTAAAAAGAAAATAATTACAGTTCTAAACAACCGCAATAACAGACATACTTACAATTATCTACATTTCACAATTATATACATTACAGCCACAAAACAGCCGCGCAATTGCCGAATGAGGCTTATTTTACAAAGAATTAATTAATACTTAATTATGTAGATAAAAGAGAGATTAACACTTAATATTTACAGTACGCTCTGAAATAAAAACAAAAACATAACCACACATACAAAAAAAAATACAAAAATACAAAAATCCAACAAAAAAAGTGTCTAATAAAAGATTACATTTTTAATTACATACTCACGAACTTAATTAAAGGGGAGAAATGTCTTTTGGCCATATTTCATAAAAGGTTTCTAATTTATTATTCTTAGTGGAAATATATTTTTCAACTTGGTATTTAATTCTTACTTTAAATTTGAAACCTTCGATGTTTGGATTAAGTACCTGTTTCTTTCTGCAATCCCATAAATACAATTTACCAATTAATATCAGATAATTTAACAAGGGGCATTTTGACATCGTTATTCCAATTATAACCTCTCGTAAACACAACCCGTGAAATTCCTTTGTTATTGTTAAATAATACTGTTCAACATTTTTCCACAACATATTTGAGTGCTGACAGTAAAATAGAAAGTGACATAATGTTTCCTGTTCAGTCTTGCAAAAAGTACATTTGTCATGCTGGAGATATCCAATTTTAAAAAGTTTTGCATTAGTGTAAAGTATTGAATTTAAAACTTTATATTGAAAGGATTTGACGTAAGGCTCCTGTGTTGTCAGGTGGGGAAGGTTGTAAGCAATTTTTAAGTCTTCGTCAGATAAGCCAAAATCATGTTTTAAATTCTTTGCATTACTAGGTAATTGTGCTTTATTTGATATTATTAAAGAGTAGTAGTCTTTCGTTTTCTTTTCCGCTATGTCAAAAATCTCATTCCCCTTTGTAAAATAAGTATTTTCTGTAAAGGTAGTATACTATATTGTTTTCAGAATAGAAGGAATTGCATGCCTGAGACCTGTCCATGTAAGAAAATTAGCTTTCTCAATTATGTTATTGATTGCATTAAAGGATTCTATATTGTCGAGATTTGAACAAGAGATCTTTAATAATACATATCCCCGAGTCATAATAAGATTTGTAAAAGACTGGTTTCCCATCTATTCTTATATCTTTGTTATTCCAAATTATACAGAGCCGTTCTTTGTTAGCTAAAAAGAGATTTCGAAATTCTAACCAACATTCTAAGAGTTCTCTGTAGAAAACCGAGTTGATTGAAAGATCGTTCATTGCATAATTGCATTTAAAAAGTAAAAGACCACCAATACTACGTAGGAGATGAAACAAGTAAAATTTCCACGTACTTTCATTATCGCTGAAAACACGTTTTAGCCAAGCTAGTCGTACAGCTTTGACCAAGCTTTCAATATCTGTCATTTTTATGCCACCGTCTTCATAACTGTTTATTGAAGAGAGCCTCGTTACTTTATCCTTTCCATTCCATAAAAAGGAGAAAATTATACTATTCACTTGTTTGATGATTTTACTTGGAGGTGAAAGAACCGAAGATATAAAAACTAGTTTTGGAATAAGTAATGATTTGATTATAGTTACTTTACCATAAAAGGACAGTCCTCTAGATGACCATATATTTGTCAGCTTCTTTATGCTGTCAACCTTCTCTTGAAAGTTTTTTTCGTAAAGTAATGATTGGTCATATGTAAAAAAGGTTCCTAAAGCTTTTATGGGTTCACTGGGCCATTTAATACCAAACGGTTTTTCAACTTTTCTTTTAAGCGAACCAATCCACATTCCTTCTGTTTTAGAGCTATTTATCTCCAAACCACTGAAGTTCTTAAATACTTCTAGTTCTTGAAATAACGTTTTTGCAGAACTTTCATCAGACAGGATTGCTGTGGTATCGTCTGCGTATTGCAATAGCTTGGCTTCGTAATTTTCTATTTTAATTCCTTTGATATCAGCATTTTGACGAATGGAGATTGCCAAGCTTTCAACAGCTTTCAACAGTTCTACCGAATATCATACATCATAATCAAACAGGTTATGTTGAAGATCGCTATATTGGTGAGACTATCCGATCAATTTTCGATATAATGGAATTTACAGACAGTAAGAATATTCCAGGTATCTTGATTTTCATTGACTTTAAAAAGGCTTTCGACTCTTTAGAATGGCATTATCTTTTCAGTTGCCTTGAGGCTTTTAATTTTGGCCCCAATTTTATAAATTGGGTCAAAATGTTTTATACAAATATTCAAAGCTGTGTAATAAATAATGGAATGGCATCAGACTATTTTACTTTAGAACGTGGTGTGAGGCAGGGTGATCCTTTGTCCCCTTACCTCTTTATCTTAGATCTTTGCCAACATATATTCAGGGTTATATTTTCTTAAATATTACTTAGTAACAGTAGTGTTTCCGTGAAAGCACCGAAACAATTTCCGAGAAACGTGAAAGGGATCATAGAAGATTAACATTGAAAGGGATTCCTCCTTCAGATTTGAACATCTATCATTAAACTGAAAATGCAGCCAAGTCTTACACGCCAGCAGGTGCAAACAACCTGATCGATTCCGTGAAATCTGACTATAGAAGCCATTTCTGCTCTTGTTACTTTCCCGGAATTTCTCGGAGACTTTGACCGAGAACGGCTGGGAAGAAGCCACGCAGGTGCAATGAACCAGATAGAATTCCGAGAAAACTGCTTATGTAACATCCACTCTGATTGTATTGTCTGCATTGGATTTTCCCGGAAAGCTGCACTTGCAGCGTACTGAGGACGTGGAGTCAATTTAGTGTTATTTCTTGGTGAATCAGCGAAAACGAAGTTAATTTTAAAAAGGTATGTCAGAGGTATTATTTATAATTTATATAAAGTGACCAACGGCTCGTTTAGTTGAATTGTGTTCAATTCTGTCGCTTCGCTAAGCCTGACTGTATGCGCTGATCGTAATTTATTCCGAGAAACCTTTCGTTTTGAGTGACGATTTCTGTCAAGTCACCTGCTATATTGTGGGGAAGGGTCGCAAATTACCCTGCATTGAATCAAAGAACGAGAAACCTGAGCAAAATATTGGAAAGTTGACACGTTAAAATTTTAAGACGTAGTCTATTTTTGAAAATATGAACAATGTCTTTCAATGCGGTTTTCGACAATTAAGGCAGACTGCAGACTAGCAGATAAACGAAGTTAAAATTGTTGTGAAATACTTTAACAGATTCCCTATCATTAAAAATAAAAGTCTAGTTTAAGTATAGGGTATCTGTTAAAGCATTTCATAACAATGTTTACCCGGTTTACCTGCCAGGCTGCAGTCTGCGTTTGTCGCAAAACGATTTCTATGCGTAAGAATCGCTTCGTTGACAACGGTAACTCAGAGGTTTCGGCGTCTATCTTTCCTTTCAGTCAACCGTTCCGTTTGTATGATAAGCAGTCATTTTCTTTTTGCCTCATGCATTCTGTACTTTTGAAAGGGACTATTTGCAAATGTATAGGTCGATCTACTTATATTACTTCTTGTTACGCGCGTGACGTCGACTACTTTCTCGGTTCTTGCAGTGAAAAATTTGGCTAAAACGAAGTTTTAAAGAAACTTGGTAATTAACCGAGAATTTTTAAGAGCTGATGTTTTTTTTTCTGTAAATGTGTACAATTTCATATATATTTTCCGAGATTTTTCGATCCTAGGGGCCTTTTTCTCGAAAGTTCCGATAATATACCAGCCCAGAAAGGTTTGTTGTTTACATTGTAGTAAAGGTCTAGCTTTCAACAGATTTTTGTAGACATTTTTAGCGAAAAAAAACCGGTTCAAAAATGGGCTGGTTTGTTAGCCAGGACCTGCGCTTTGATTCTTTTAAATATTGCGATATTCGTCATTTCATTCCTACAGTTCAAACTCTTTTCAAATACAAAACTTCTTCATTCATTGTTAATTAATCTTTTGATTGCAATAGCGCTGAGAAAAGGATGACGTCACAAAAACGTGGTTAGGGTTAGGGTTAGTCTACCTCAAACCAAGGGCAATGTTTGAAATCGCTTGAGATTTCTAAAGAAGTATTTTATGTTTTTAGAAGAATTAAATCGGAGAATTCGTGAAAATGGAATAAATTTAAGACTGTCATGTATCTACCTCTTTCAAAACATTTCCCGGCAGCCTGATCACTGCCACAAAACACAGCGTACTTCGCTTTCTTTCCGGATTTCTCGCATTTATTTAGTGACTCAGACCACTTTTTCAGGGATCCTTGAGTCCCTCTCACATTCTCAACACTCCGTAAACGCGCATACAAAGCCTTTAAGCGAGAAGCAAAGTTTGTCTGAATCATTCTGGGGTCTTATCAGATCTTATCATACGTAGACTATTTTTAGAATCTGTGCGCAGCGCTATTGAACCTCTTTTAAAGTCTGGTTTAGTTAGGCCTCAGTAATATCAAATAAAAGATACCATTTAACTCTGAATACAAATATCCCTACCATGTCGGTTGTCGGCTATTTTTTTTTTCCAGTCGGTAGTCGGTAATTTTTATATCGTTAATTTTGTCGGTAGTCAGTTATATTTTTCGCCGTTTGTTGCGAGTCAGTTAACCCTATTCAGACCCTCCTGCTAGGCTGACCAAATCCCACTACTTTAAGGAATTACTGGACTTATATGTCGCTTATATTAATTATCTCTATAACAGTAAAGTCAGTAGGTAGAAATACAAAGGAAAAGGAAACTCTGCTAGCAAGGTATTGGCATTGTTATTAGTTTGGCTCTGATTCAGTGAAATGCCGAAATAAAATATTCCGTCTGTTTATACGAGTGAAGTCTACTGCCTAATTTTATCATTTACGGACAGTGACGGAGTCTCGCTTTGAGGAAACGTGCGAGTATCGAAGTTAACAACGCCACTAGGAACAAAACATCATCGATCAGTCAATTCCCTCCCTGGGCATTTGTCGTTTTGTTTTGGAAAAGCTCCAATGCCTCACAATGGGGCCGACCCCACGGTGGGCCTTACAAATAGGGTGGATATGCCCCACCCGGGACAACAGCAAAATTGTATTTTCCCAGAAATAAGCTGCAAATACCGTATTTATGGAAAATCTCTTGTATCCGATCAAAACTCGTGAGGCACCCTACGCAAATCGGTCCCAGTATACGGTTCGAGCAAGCGAGTTATTCGGTTTTCTGATAGTAAAATGCACTTCAGGTGGCTTGCACTTAAAGGGCTTCCGCCGTGACGTATATCTTAATAGGGAGTTTTAGCAACGACGACGGCAACGGCAACCAGGACGTCAAAAAAGCAATAGGTTTATTACGCAAAACAACAACTTTGCACGTGCATCACGCTTTTTTATACATTTCTTTACCGTCCTTACACGTCTACGACGTGAAAATGCCTAATTGCAAGTTTTATGGAGGACGTAAACAAGCGACGACGAATCTCTTTTTCTCTCTCTAAACTTGAGTGCGGTCCTCAAGAAATCAACTCCAGGGAAATTCGCCTACACTTGTCATTTTTAGCAAATTGGAATAAAGGCGACGAAGATTGAAAAAAAACGGAATTCATTTTAAAACTGACGTTTTCGCTGCCGTTGCCGTCGTCGATGCTAAAGCTCCCTAATGGCGCGAGCAACTCAGACAAAAGAAAGCTACCACACCGGAGTTCGAAAAACAAATCTATTTAATGTGTCTATGTGAAATCGTCTGTAACGGAAGGGCGCGACGGCGTGAGCTTGCGGTTTGTCTAGTTCCTTTGCCGTGCTCGTGAGAACGTGACTTTGCTTCGCTGCAAAGACTTTTCTGGATTCTTCGAACTTACTGTGCTTGAGTATGTTAAATGCAGATATTTCTTCTCACTTAAGTATCGCTGTGAGAGGTGCTCAAAACTGAAAACTGTTGCTGGCTCGTATTCTTCTCCGTTTTTCCTGCATGCGCTCTAAAAAAAATTGGACAAAAGGTGGTCAAGATCGGACGCAAGTAAGCTTTCAGTTTTCTCATTTTTCGTACCATTAGCTTCCCTGTCAATCAATCAATCAATCATATATTTATTTCAATTCGCGTTTTCGAGTAGCATTTCAGCCATTATCTCCGAGAGAGAAATAATATATAAAATGAAATAAAAATATAAATAGTACAATTAAAATACATTTCATATAGACATTCAATTACTCTCACCTATATATACAACCATTTTTAAAAAGTTAACTGCTTTATACATCGTTTGAAAGTATTAAGATCAGGAGCGCTTCTTGTTTCATCTGGCAGAGAGTTCCAGGTGGAAATAGATAAGTATTGAAAAGTGTAAAGTCTAAAAGTAGTGGTCACCTTATCCACCTTAGGCACAGTGAAAAAAAGAATTTCAATTTTCTGTTGGTTGATAAAATCGTCTATGGTCTTCTGATGATACCTGTTTCAGTTCCTGTATCAAAAGTTTCCAGATCCTCAGGGTAATAAAAGTCGTCGGAGAATATTCGTCTTCTTCATCCATCACTGAAATCTGGGGAGAGTTTCAAATTTTTTTAGCTTTTTCTGGTAGTTTCGCTGTAAGTAATGACAGTATTTTTTATCGCTGTTTGGCTGCCAATTTTGAATTTACCGGCTTTGCTTAAAAACAAAAATACACGGCTTGGACCGTTTCCGTTTTGCAAAATGCCGACCGAGAAAGAACCAAGTGCACGTATTTGCCTCACACTGGTTTTGCCATATAAAAATGATAATAGAACAATAGAACAATAAATATTTAAAGCTTACTATCTAAAAGGCCATATTTTTAGGTGAAATATTGAAAAAGGAACGACGATAACTGCATCCAGAAGAATTGGCAAATACCCCACCCCCGGAAGGAGGTTTTCTGACAAATTCCCCACCGACGGGGCCGACAAGATGACAAATGCCCAGGGGTGTAGGCACGTTTGGAATTGACTGAGCTATTAGGAAGAATTAATCCAAAACGGAAACAGATTCCAAGATATAATAGACAGAACCTTGTAACCAAGAAAAAACGAGCAAAAGACTTCATGTAAAAAAAGACATCACATAGAAAAAAGGGGCTTGAAATTAAGGTCTAGATATTTTTGTTGAACATCATCTGGTTCGCTCTTTACTTGAATTATGTGCTTTCAAGAGCCATAATGGGACATTATGGCTCTTGGTACTTTTTAACTACTCTCATTTTTTGGTAACTGGAAATTTAAAAAACGGATTTGATAATAGGTTCATGCAAGTTTTAAATTTCGACACACTCCAGGGCACTTTCACTTTAAGCATAATTTGACTCTACGCAGATAGTGCGCAATCAATATCTTAGTCTTTTGTTCTTCAGACAATATTTTTTCTTTGTAAAAATATTATCTGTAAACCTCCTGCTGGCGTTTAACATAAACAGGGGTTTTCAATGTTCTGTTTTTATTGTGTCGTCTTTGTGTCAGCCGGATTTCAGCTCAATTTCTTAATCCCTATCATTCATATTTCCAGCATCCCACCGCGTCCCGTGTACATATTCAATTTTAAATCTCGCCCAAATTTTGCTTTATTATGTGGGTATAGCTGTAAATCCTTTAACATTTGGTCTCAATTTAGCGGTTGTTAGTGCCAAACAATAGAATAATGTAACAAACGTTCACGGGAGCAATTTTATTACAGGGGAAATTTGTTTCATGGCTCCAAGTTGTTAATAAGTAGCTGTATACAGAAGCCCATAGCTGTATGTCTGTATGTCTGTATGTCTGTATGTCAAGTCTTGGTTGCACGCCAGTAGGTGCAATCAACCTGATCGATTTCCGTGAAATCTGTTCAAACAAGCCATTTCTGCTATTGTTACTTTCCCGGAATTCATCAGATTCAATAACAACCGCTTAAGAAAATAGAGCTACATACATGACTTGTTCATCATTTACATGGGCAAGTTATTTCTCTGTTCACTATAGTTGTGTTGGACTTCACACATTAACACATGCATTAACTTAAACTTTGTTTCGTGACGTCAGGGTAATAGCCGTGATGAGGACATCCGTAAAAAATAAGACGGCTCTCAAGAAGGCTCGCCCCCAAATCGCTTATTTTTTGACAAACAAGCAAAAGTCTTAGATGCTAAGAGTTGATAAGGAAACACTGTTTTATCCCTTAAATGCAAACGCAGAAAAGATTAAAGTTTTGTTTATTTACCTGAAACCACCCTTAAGTAAAGTTCTAAAGATCTTTGCCAACATGTTTCTGAAATATTGCCTAGTAACAGTAGTGCTTCCGGGAAAGCACTGAAACAATTTCTGAGAAACGTGAAGGGGATCATAGAGGATTAACCTTGAAAGGGATTCCTCCTACAGATTTAAACATGTCTCATTCAACTGAAAATGCAACCTGTCCATACACATTTGATAGGAGAAAGAGCCCTAGCGGACGTGTCCTTTCGGATACTTTGACCGAGAAGGCCTGGAAAGATGCCACGCAGGTGCAATGAACCACATAGATTCCGAGAAAAACTGCTAAGTGACATTTACTCTGATTACATTGGATTTCCCGGAAAGCTGCACTTGCAGCGTACTGAGGACGTGGAGTCGATTTAGTGTTATTTCCTGGTGAATCAGCGAAAACGAAGTTAATTTTAAAGAGGTATGTCAGAGGTATTATTTATACTTTATATAAAGCGACCAACGGCTCGTTTAGTTGAATTGCGTTCAATTCTGTCGCTTCGCTAAGCCTGACTGTATGCGCTGATCGTAAAGTCTTCCAAGAAACCTGTCGTTTTGAGTGACGATTTCTGCCAAGTCCGTTGCTATATTGTGGGGAAGGGTCGCAAATTACCCTGCATTGAATCAAAGAACGAGAAACATGAGCAAAATATTGGAAAGTTGACAAGTTAAAATTTTTAAGACGTAGTCTATTTTTGGCAAATATGAACAATGTCTTTCAATGCGGTTTTCGACAATTAAGGCAGACTGCAGATTAGCAGATAAACGAGGTTAACATTGTTGTGAAATACTTTAACAGATTCCCTATCCCTAAAAATAAAAGTCTAGTTTAGGTATAGGGTGTCTGTTAAAGCATATGATTTCATAACAATGTTTACCCGGTTTACCTGCCAGGCTACAGTCTGCGTTTGTCGCACAGCGATTTCTATGCGTAAATTGAATCGCTTCGTTGACAACGGTAACTCAAAGGTTTCGATGTCTATCTTTCCTTTCATTCAACCGTTCCGTTTGTATGATAAGCAGTCATTTTCTTTTTACCTCATGCATTCTGTACTTTTGAAAGGGACTGTTTGCAAATGTATTCGTCGATCTAGTTATTTACTTCCTGTTATACGCGTGACGTCGATTACTTTCTCAGTTCTTGCAGTGAAAAATGTGGCTAAAGCGAAGTTTTCAAAAAACTTGGTAATTAACCGAGAATTTTTAATAGCTGATGGTTTGTTGTTTCTTTTTTTTCTGTAAGTGTGTACAATTTCAGATTTATTTTATGAGATTTTTCGATCCTAGAGGCCGGCGGTTTCTAGAAAGTTCCGATAATATACCAGCCCAGTGTTGTTTACATCTCAATAAAGGTCGAGGTTTCAATAATTTTTTTGTTTTAGATATTTTTAAAAAAGAAAAAAAGTTTAAAAAAAATTGGACTGGTTTGTTAGCAGGACCTGCGCTTTAAAATTTTAAAATATTTTCATTTGAATATCTTATTACGGGGTCGAAAAGTTAGCGGGACTTTCACATGTCGGTAAAAATTTCATTGCTTTGTCGGTTGTCGGTTAAATTTTTCGATCTTTGTCGGTTGTCGGTAAGTTTGGGTCAATGATTAACAAAACGATATTCGTTAATAATTTTATTTCAGATAAATTTGTCGCAAAACAAAGTTCGTTATTTAATTCACACAGTTTACACCGTATACAAGTATTAAACTTTTTCATTCATTGTTCATTTATCTTTTGAATGCAATGGAACCTCATTTTAAGTCTGTGAAAGTGTCTGCCAAAGTTGATGTACATATGTCAGCGAAGGTCGATGAGGTGCTGCTTAAGTGAGCGCGATTTATGCATTAGGCGTTTTTCCTCGACTTTTTTGCACACTTTCTGTTCGCTTAGCACGGCTGTCTGATGAGGCTGCGCCACTTTGATCTGTCTTGAGTCAGTTCTTCCAAGTTCAAAGACCAATGACGTACTAATCATAATTAAGAAAAACAAGTGGTCAAGTGAGAACAATATAGGTGGGATTTCAATTATTTAAAGTTGTTTTTAGGGACTAAAGTCTGTTTCCCTGGACGTCCGCGAAAACTGATTTATGGCTCATGCGTTAACTTTAACTGTGGAATGTTTTGAGCTAACTGCTCCGACATATATCAAGATTTGGAAGATCCATTTGCCAGTACCCTTAATTCTGCTGCTATAGACTAATTCCCGCATTAACCCCGCAGAGGATTTTGTCACTTGAGATGAGCAAAATAGTTTCAACAAGAACCTCTCAATTCAGTCAGTATATATCCTTTCAGTAATCTCAAAGCCCACTCCCCTGCTCCCCACCCCCCATCGTTTTCTTATTCTTCCTTAATTCAGCTTCCCGCTGCTGAATCTCTTACCTTTATACGACCCACAAATAAAATTAAAAAAAAAAAGACCGGCAGCTACGCAGGCTGCCTCCCTTATAATTTTCTATGTTCAGTGGAACACAGCTTCGGTGGCGCTCGATTGCAACCTCCTAACCTTTTGGAAAGAAACTTACGATCACTTTTATAATTTTGCTCATGTTTCGAGCATGGATAAACAGCACGCAGTGAAAGTACTGAAGCAATTGACGTCTAGTAGGCTCGATTGCTACCCGCTGTGCAAGGAGTCCTGGATTTCCCTCGGAAAGGAGGATAAATAAAGGCGCACCATTTGAACAGGCTGAAATGAGCTTTGATGGAGGTGCAGATGCGAAATAGGCGCTCTTCTATATATACATGCCGGGAGAGACGCGGAAATCGAACCTTGCACGACTTGGATTGTACACAATTTCCATACTAATTTAATGACAGGAAATTTTATAAGTAACGAAACTGGAAGTTAAAGTGATTTACCTCTAGTCTGAAGAAGCTAACTAAAAGATCTTCCCTGCGCTGGGAACAAATCAAGGAAAATACTTTTGATAAACAGGGAAATAGAAAACAAATAAAAAATACCATTTATTTCTGAATACAAATATCCATACAGTGTTGGAGCATGTCGGTAGTCGGTAATTTTTTTCTCGTTTTGTCGGTAGTCAGTTATATTTTTCGCGGTTTGTCGTTTATCGGCTAACTCAATTCAGACCCGCTTTTATAAGAATAAGGAAGATTGAACTTCAGAACATAATGGTGATGTTACACGAGACGATTCACAACGACGATTTTTAGCGCAATACAGCGTTGCAATGCTGGAGCAATATTGTAACCATTCGAAACAATGTCGCAGCAATGCTGCAACGCTGTGTTGCGCTAAATATCGTCGTTGCGAATCGTCTCGTGTAACATCACCTTAAAGAGGCTAACTGCCAATGTTGGTGATCACAGCAGTAACAAAATAGATCAAATCTTGCCATTGTGCATTGCTAAAGAGCCGATAAACGTGCATCGAACCTGAATTCCATTTATTTAATGATGGTGCATATATCGTACCTTCGTTATAGTGCCTTTATCGAGCGTTAACCGTACTTCATGGAGCCTTTTTTCAAACAATCGTTGATATATCATCTAAGGAAAAAAGTATGGTATTGAAAAGAGAAAAAATGAAAAACAATAAACTGGAATTTTAAGCTTGAAAGAAAGTCATTTTTGTTTTAACGAAGCACTAATTTTCAACTTCACGAGTTGAATTACAAGTACGTTTTGCATGTTCTTAAGGTGTCATTAGTCTTTCTCTTCGCGCTTAAATAACTTAGCTTAAATGGTGCCTTCATCATGCTTAAGTGGTGCCTCAAGGACAAAGGAACGATTCACGAAATGACAAAGAACGATAATCGAGCCTCTATGCACGGTTAATATGTATCGTGCATTGGCAATTTGGTGTATTAAAAGTTACGTTCTAACGGTAAAGGGTGTTTTTTTTAAATTTAATTACCATGACAATATTGAAATAGTTTCCTTAAAAAAGACTTTGTGCAGAAAATATATCTACCTGGAGTTATGAAAACCGTGAAAAAAAATTATGACTGTGAAAACAAGGCTAAGGTGATTCGCCGACAGTGTGACTCTACATCCGGGAACTTGAATAAGACGAGTGTAAGTAAGAAAAGTCCAGAGGTGTTTATCTGGCAATAGGCTGAGTTTTTCCGAGTTACTCGATGATATTTCGCGTATGTTAAACGTGAGAAGATTATGCGTGGTTGTGGATAGTCTTATCAGTGCCGCGAAAGTGTGTGACTGTGTGATTTCCGCATGATGTTGACGGGTATGTGATCGCGTGGTTGAACTGCGGTTTCGCCAAAATATTCTGTGCCAGCCATTAATATTGTTTCTTCGGTGTTTAGCTTAGCTGATTGTACCTTGGAAAAGCAACTCTCGACTCAGGAAAATTGGATCTAGGTCTAGTTTCAGCGGGCTCTAATGGCATTGCACCATAGGCCGGTTTTTGCAGATAAGGAGGTGATAATTTGTGCACTATGTTTCATTCAGTTTGTTGTCTATTCCATGCGGAATCCTGTTGTTTATCGGACCGCGAAAAAAGTAGTGTTTTGCTAACTATTTAAGTTGTTATGTAAGCCTTAACCAGCCACTCTTTCGCTGCAGTTAAAAATTTCTAGACTGAAATGACACCGGTTTGAAACTTCGCGAAGTCAGTTTACTGAATAAATGTTCTAAAATTTGCGTTAGTTTAAATTTGGACTCGTTGGAATACTTCTAGGGACCATTAACTTTCTGCTCGGCTTCAGATAACCGCTTTTAATCGGCCTTTGAATGAGTTTTGTTTTAAATTGCCAAGCCGAGTAGAATTAGTTGATATTCTTGCTAACCCGGTTTTCAAAAATCCAGGTATATATACAGTCTCTGTGATGCACATTGATTACTCAACAACCGTGCAGAAAATCAAGTTTCTATCACTGACACGAGTTTGGAGGAACTGCAACCTTAAATATAGCGTTAGACATTTTTTTTTCCTTACAAAAATGTGACCGAGAAGCCACTTAAGGTAATTATACTAAAGTCGCTCCTTTCGATTTGTCGCTCATAAAGATATCGACTGACCACTCGGACTTTGCGTTTCGTATTCGATTCCCAGCGGACGTTCTTTTCGGATGCGTCAGCGCAAAATACACTGGCCAAAAAAAGCCTGGAAAGACGCAGTGCAGGTGAAATGAACCAGATCGATTCCGAGAAATCTGCTTATGTGACATCGACTCTTATCAAAGTGAATATTCTCCGAAAGACCCACTTGCAATAGGCTGTGGACATGGAGCAGTTTTAAAGTTTTTCTCTTACTGAACCAGCGAGAACAGGAAGCTGTCAGTAAGCTGAATGTTGGCTTAGTTGGTTAAATTTAAAGCGTTAAAACCAGGTTTACAGCCTTGACATAGCAAGATGATGTGCACTGGGGTACACAAGTTAGAGAAGTCAAATCTAAAGCCTCAAAGATCCTAGGCCTATTACGTACAAATTGATCTAGTGGTGGCAAATATGTTAAGAGAAAAGTTTGTCCGTCAGTGCCTCGTTTTATATTTGCTGTGCTATTTAAAGACCTTCTTTTAATGCGTTGTGCGATTATTTTAATGTTACATTTAATTTGGTGACAGTCCTTACGGTTAACATTTGAAAAAAAAAACTTTCATGGGAACATATAATACACATAATTGACCGGCTCCCAACATCAGTGGCCTTATAGCTTAGTTAGAGCGTGGCACCGATATCGTGACGTCACGGGTTCAAATCCCGTTGAAGTCCCGAGAATCTTCTTTTTTTTTTTCGGGTTCTTACGCAATTGCATAAATTGCGTTCACAACTGCGAGGATTGTTCATTTGAATTATATTAATCTCGCCCCTTTCGAGTTGTCGCTAATAAAAATATCGACTCCACTTCGATTTTGCGTTTCGTCAGCGAAAATATATTGACCTAGAAGGCCAATGAAGACGCAGTACAGGTCAGGTGCAATGAACTAGATTCATTCCGAGAAATCTGCGCACGTGACATCTATCATTAACCAAGTGAATATTCTGGGAAAGATCCACTTGCAATAGATTGTGGACAGGGAATGATTTACTTATATTTCTTCGTGAACCGGCGAAAACGGAGTTTATCAAAAAAGGTATGTCAAAGTTTTTCTAAAGCTAAAAATAGGCTGAATGTAGTCTTGGTTGGTGGAATCCAAGTGTTGCAGGGCCTCCGGTAACTGATTAATACTCACCTGCTGCCTGGAGTACTGTTTTCCGAGAAATCTGTTCGCGGGACGACTGCTATTTAGCAGAATGTCTCGGAAGCGAACACGACAAAGTATCATGTATTGAATACATTGACTAGAAAAACGAGAAGAATATTAGAAAAGTTCTAAATTAAGATCTGAAGTTTAGAGAAGTTAGGATAGACCCCCCGAAATAGCAAGTTAAGTTTACGGCGAATATGATAAGTGAAATGTATCGCTGATCATAGACATGTTCTTAAAGCAGTCGATTTCTTTTCCCCTCGATTATACGGCCGAGGGATAAACTATGGTTAAGTACAATCGATCTACTGAAAAGCTCAAACACATCCTCTTTTCCGAGAAAGATGTCACAACATGTACACGTGTCGTCTGTTACTGTTTTTTGCTTGCAATTTAGGATGTAGCAATTGAGAGAAAGAGACTTTTGTTAACAAATTTTAGATTGAAGTGGATCCGATAGGGTGTTCTTCGAATAGATGCAAATGTTGCGGGTGTGTGTTATTTTTTCAATTTTTGGCTATACTTGGTCGCTGTGCACTGTAAAAAATAGAAAGGAAAATTTTGTAGTAGAAATACAAAGGAAGGGAAACTCTGTACATGAGAGTTTGTCGTTGTTATCGTTAAGTTTGGCCTGGCTTCCGTAATGCGGAAATTAGCATCCGCAGTTTGCTGCCTTCACAGCGTACATATTGCCAGTTTTGTGCGTGGCTAAACTCGAAATCGTCGATATATTTAATCAGAAACTATTTTCACAAGTGATGGAATAAAGGTTTCTAGGTAATTCCGGAAATTAAAGTGTTTATTTCAAGCCCGATTGGCTTGGGTTCTTTTCCAAAACTGGCATCTCGAAGAAAACCTTTGGTGCTAAAGTTTATTTTCAGTGTAACCTTTAAACCTTGTCGCATTTTCGAGCTTCAGAAAACAATAAAAATGAATTTAGTGTAGACAAGGATGTGTGTTTATCGAAACGCTCTACGAGTGGTCTCTGGTGCCTGAGACGTCACTGGACCACGCCAGACAAAACGAAGTCAAATGCAAACTAATTAGAAAAATTCAGAAGAGCCATGAAATTGTATATGATACATTTGCAATCTACTAAGTATATCCTATTTCTGTTGGTTTGCTTGCTAGTAGTTGTAGAAGTAATGATTAACTTGTTCGTGTTAAGCACTTCTTGATAGGGAATTAACGTACTCCATTATATTATACACTCCTAGTATATTTTCTCGCGTTTAACACAATGAGTTCCGTTGCAATCGCTTTGTTTGATGAAATTTCCAATAGTCTCCCAGTTAACGAAAAAATGGATTTGCACCAAATTTGTTCAGCGCAAATCTGATGCAAATTTGTGCAAAATGAGGAATAAATCCGTGCAAACGTAGTAAATGCCACATTTGCATACCCATTTACACCCCGGTGTACTGAATAGGTATGCAAATGTGGCACTTACCACCTTTGCACAGATTTCCTGCATTTTCGGCGTAATTTTTATTTTGACTTCATTTGAAATGCTGAGAAAGTAGGATTAGGGTCCCTACCTCCATCCTTTCTTCCATGCTTGTCTCCTTAATTCTTTTTTACCTTCTTTTATTTCCTTCCTCCCTTCCCTTCTTTTATCTTTCCTTTCTTATCATCATTGACTTGTAACTGTAAGAATTTTTTTTTTCAGACCAGGGAAATCAATATGTTGATGTAACCTGAGTATAATGAATGAACAGAGTAAGTAAGATTGCATCTACAAGATAAGTTAACTCACTGTTTGGCTGTCTTCTATCTTTGACAAGAGGAGTTTGAAGGTCACCTCCACTAATCCTCCAATGTTTTTGCCCCCATAGTGGTTGTAGAAGACGATGATGATTTTAACGTGATTCAGCCAACCCTCCTGCAGCAATTAAAGACCATTCTAGATCAATACCCTGATGATGGGCAGATACTAAAGGTAATATTCATTTAGTTAAAAAGCCTTAAAACCGATCTTTCTGAACAAATATATCCCTTTTACCATTTAAATCTCTGCTTACGTTCACTGACGCTTATTTTTTGTCACACCCGGTGTTTAAGGGAGGAGGGTAATCCTGGTAACAGCACCCCTCCCACCCCCGTGGTTGCTGTTCATGGCTAACAAACAGCCTGGATATATTAACCTCAATCCTGCATTTATCCTAGTTAAGTTACACCAGCTGAACCTGTTTTTAGTATCATCCCTTTAGAGCTCAATATGCGTGTTAAAAGTTGTTCATATTTTATTTTTTAAGGAACTCATTCAAAATGCTGAGGATGCTGGTGCGAGCCAAGTGAAATTTCTGTATGACAAACACAGCTATGGAACGGACAAACTGCGCAACGAAAAGCTTGCCACGTTTCAGGTGAGATTTGAAAAAGAGGTAGATAAGAATTGAGTGCAGTGTTTTCTGCAGTTTTCTGAGAGATAAGCAACAGGATCTAACAATATCTGCAGGGTCTTACCTGACTGACAGCCACCATTGCTGTTGTCTGTCTTAGGTGGGTTGTTGGATTGGGTGTGACCGGGGAGCGCCACTGAATCTGGTGGTGCTTTTCCCCGCGACTGGGCAGGTTTTTGTTTAGTTAAACTGATCGTTGGATAGTGTCTTCAGTTCAAACTTGTAATTTCTTCGTAACAGGGACCAGCGCTTTATGCCTACAATAACGCCGAGTTTACCAAAGGCGACTGGAGGGGGATCAGAATGCTCTGTGACAGTAACAAAGTCAAAGATCCAATGAAAGTTGGTCGGTTTGGCCTTGGTTTCAAGTCAGTATTTCACATGACAGGTAGGTACATCGCACGGAACAATTCGCGCCTTGTATATCTGATCGTCTGCATTAAATGTTATATTCACCGTTTTTTTGTGTAGCTTTTTATTTCGAGAATCATTGGCCATGTTAAGAATTAATAAATATGATTTATTGTTTGTTACTAGAAAATTAGCTAATTGCTTATAGTCGCCCACAACAAGAATAGAAACTTACTAAAAATCAAAAACCGCTGAAACTTCGCAATGACTAAAGACTAACTAATTGGCTATCTGTTACTAAGGATACCCCAGCCCATTATATGACCCTGCATTGGCTGGTTCCAGACGCGTGTAAGATAAAGCCTCTTTTGCCCGTTAAGGATTTTCCGCTTAGGCCCTGCCAGAAATAGTTCTCTTGAGAATATAATAAATTTATCACTCCATCACTCGCCAAGTATGTTCGGCCAAGATGGCTGGATGTTAGCCTCGTGTTTAGTTTTTGCCTTTCCATTGACCTCAACTTCACGAAACGTTTCTCTGGCAATATCCGGCTATGTTGACGTCACGTTTGGTCAATAACGCACACAGGCATATATCTGAAGCATTTTTCCTTGGCTTTTAGATTTACCGAGCATCCTCAGCAACACACGGATAGGTTTCATTGATCCACTGGAGCACTTGAGTGATCACAAATATCGAATAACTGGGTTCAGCTGGCCTCTAAATGAGCATGAAAAAATGGAACGTATACAAGATCAGTTTCGTCCTTACAAAGAGATATTTGATTGTAACGATAAGGTCTTTTCTGAAGGAAAGTACTGTGGGACATTGTTCCGTTTCCCTTTACGGAACACTCCGTCCAAATTATCAGAGACATTGTACTCGCAGGAAAAAATGGAAAGGTTGTTTGAGAGTTTTGTTGCCGATGCTCACCTTGTGCTTTTGTTTCTTCGAAATCTGGAATCCATTGAGCTCTACACGCGAGAGATTACAGAATCCATTCCAAAAAGAATCTTTCAAGCGAGAATCAGTGAAGATAGCCTTGAGTTAGTTAGGAAGAAAAGGAAGGAGTTCTTTGAAAAAATCGAACCAGGTAAACACATGCTTGAGCCTGTCACAGTGACGTATCCAGTCACAATTGAGACGGTTGTGCGGGAAAACAACATTCAACAGTTTTCCTTCCTTGTCACAAGCTACTGCTGTGGTGGGGAGCTCTCATCCGAGTTTAAGACGCTTCTGACGGATGAAGAACTTAGCTATTTACCCTCCGTTGGCGTTGCTATGGGGGTTCCCCCAACAAAGGACCTCCCGACGCCTGATGTTGCGGGGCACGTGTTTTGCGCTTTGCCTTTGCCTGTGCAAAAAAAGAGCATGACAGGTTTGCCCGTTCATGTAAATGGATTCTTCGCCCTCACTCAGAACAGACGTCACATCAAGACACCAAACAAAGATCAAGATGACCGAAGCAAACTTACTGACAAGTCCTTGTTGTGGAATTGCTGTTTGATGGAAGAGGCTCTTCCAAAAGCCTATGTGACGATGATTAAGGAAGCCATTATCAACTTCAACATGAATCCCGATGCAGTGTACAAGTAAGGTTTTATTTTTGCTTATTAAATCGTGATTTTTTTCTCATAACCTTGCAATGTTATTGGCATGTGGTTGTGTATAAGTTGGCATGACCTCCTTTAGTTCGGAGTAATTTCCTCGGCTTGACAATCTTATTGCCTATAGGGGTTCTTTAACATGCTTGTACGTACCTGGTATTTAAATACATTATGTACAGGTAGCACAGCTTGTACTAAAACAGAGAAAATAATAAGTTTGTTCTACGGCATTAGTTGACAAGGTGAATAGCTGGCGTTTCCAGTACTTGCACTTCGTCAAAGCCAATCAAGGGATTGAGGACCTCGGTAGGAACATGGTAACAGAAAAACAAAAAAAAGCAAAACACATTTGAATGACAGGTGTTTATTGATTTTTTTTTTGTGATTTCAAGTGTCCATTTCAAAGACAATTTTTTTTCCTTTTAACCCTTTCGCGCGGAAGCGCACTTAACCGCGCTCGTGAGGATCCAATTCCCTTCTACCGCTTGTGACGCCATCAGTATTACGGTCACAGACAGCCTTGTCCGCTGACTTGTGTACGGTGAAGAGATCTTTCAAACCATACCAGAATGAGGGCGAGTGAGTCAACTAGGAGGCCGGAGAAAAAGTCAAAAACCCGTGTGACATTGACCTGAAAATTCCAATGTAAATCGTCTTCCATTACCCACCTACCTTAGCCTTTCTTGTAATCTAATCCTAAGAACCTAAAAGCTTTCACAAAAACTTTTCCCACCAAAATGAAGCCTACGTAAGGCCCAGTGAAAGAAAAAAACCAGTAAGAAGAGCGAAACGAGAGGGGAGGAGATAAAGCGAAAAGTAAAAGTGAAGACTGCTGTGACACTTTTAAACCCAAAAACTTTCTGCGCATGCCCGAACTTCGCAAGCTAATGTTTTGCATCTGGATCAGAAGGCCGCAAAGTGTACGACTTATAAGCGGTTTTGTGGCAAGGTTTAGTTCTTTTTAGCACGACAGTGATGAAAAAACGGCTCAACTAGCTTCAAAACGCGAAAAACAAGAAACGCTTTTGGTTCAACTAACTTGCAAACATCGCCAGAATAACATATCCTTGTTTTTCCTGTTACACGCTCAATATTAAACCACACATAACACAAAATCGGATCCAAATTGAATCAAATGTAAAACAACCACGTCAGTGTTTTCGTAAATGAATGATTTTTTTATGAAGAAAAAACTGAAAAAACGTCAACAGAGCTACGTACTAGGCGTCGGAAAGAAACCTCGTTATTGCTTATAATATGGTTTTTATAGTTACTTGATTTTTACAAAGAAACTTTTATATTATTTGTCATTCAGAGCATGGCCACATAACGCAGTTATTGACCCAGCTTGGGAAAGACTTCAGGGACCATTTTTACAGCTGATGTGTGGTGAACCCTTCGTATACACTCCAGCCGGTGGAGGTCAGTGGCTGAAGGCGGAGGAGGCCATCTTTGACACCGTCCACAAACATGACAGCGAACTTAAGCAGCTTCTCGTCACAGTTTTGCTTCAAGCCAATCAAAATGTTGCCTGCCTGCCCAATCATGTGCTGGAGGCCGTATCTGTCACACAAGAGATGGAGATCACTCCCTCGCTGGTGCGAAAAGTGCTCAAAAATTTCCCAACCGGCTATAGGAGCCTTGATCGAAAGCACAAGTTGCTACTTTTGAAATTCGTCTTGAACGGCCAATTCACAAACGTTGAAGAACTCCTTGGTTTAGAGTTATTACCCACTTCGAATCAAGGTTTTACATCTTTTTCAAAGGATGATAGACCTATTTTTATCTGCTCACGTGAGTATCCTCAAGAAGTTCAGCTTTTGCCAGGCCTAGGACATCGCTTTTTAGATCACGACGTTGACGAACACCTGTTTAGAAGCCTAGAAGCAGTTGCAGAGAAAGGTATGTTTATTACGAAATTCCTTGATATGACGTGCGAGTAACTGAAGGAGTAACTCTCTGTGAAAGACTAAAGCAAATTTAAGAATTGGAATAGATATTCTACCGAATGAATAAATACAATTTTCCATCTCGTGCTTCATTTCTTGCTTTAGCATAAGTTGAGTATTTTTAAAACTGCGATGATCTTCTCCGCATTTATATTTTCATCTTGCAGTTCAAATATATGAAATTCATGTATTATCATTTTCTTCTTAATCTTTCCCGGGTATGTTACGAAACAATTTAATGACCATCTCCCAGTCGGCTTGCTAGCGCTGCACAGGTATCGCAGGGCTCAGGGTTCCAATCCCGCCTAGCCTGAATTTTTCCAGGCTTTTTTTTGGCAACAGCATAAGTCACGTATTTAGGTTGTTATGATAACCTTCTCCGCATTTAGTTCTTCTGCTTAATGGTAATTAAATTGTCACCAAATAAATTATTCAACACACAAATGACCGCAGTCGAAGCTAGCCACAGTGGTTACAGCTGTCACGAGAAATATTCGTACTTATGTCCTTGAAGTGTCGCTAAGCAAACAAGCTTTAATTTCCATCCAGCGAAACATTTTCAGCCGCCTTAAGCTGATCAAAACCAAAGACAACAATTTCATCGGAATTTTGACAGGAATTTTCCAGATTGTTATTTGCTTTCTTGGCTCGTAACCCTTTTCGGAAGTTTCCAATACCGTGTCACTAGAAACATGTTTTGCTTGAGTTGCTTGCAGGATCCTCATTTTAATTGGAGGTTAACAGGAAATGAGAGTCTATTGTTTACTTTATTTTTATTTAGGATGCACTCAGTTGGGGAGTCTTTGTAAAGATTATATGCCAGAGTTACTTCGCGAGGCCCTGCCGTCTGAATGGGAAGGAAAAGATATGGTTCAATGGTATCCCGATGATAAGAGGTACCATCATCCCACGAAGAACTGGCTTAAGCACGTGTGGGACTACCTTCGAGAACAATTTGAAAAAGATCTCTGTAAACTTAAGAACCTTCCTTTGATTCCACTTGACCTCTCGCGCCACCCGATAGAATTGACAAAGATGACAACCCCGTCAAAAATTGTTGAGAGCAAGCTGAGTGAAAATAATGATATCCTTGACACCTCTTTGTGTCACGTGTTAAAGGCCTTGGGTGTTATAATAATGAAAAATTGCCCACATTTTCTGAAAAGCCATCCTGGAATAGATAAATTTGTTCACCCACCATCTGTCAAGGGTATTCTGCAGGCGTTGTTGTCTTCTTCCAGCGTGATGGGGGAAGGCCTGCACTCGGCTATTCTGAGCGACGTTGGAGATAATCACAGGCGTTCCTTAAGAAAATTAATTGCTAAAGTGCCATCATCCTTGTCTTTTAAAGAGAAGGAGTATCTTTCCTGCCTTCCACTTTTCGAGACTCTGTCTCAGGACTTCGTGTCCAAAAAGCAGGGGCTAGGTGCCTTACCAAAAGAAGCTCTACCATTCACACCCCGCGGAGACTTTATTGATGTTAAAGAGCCCGACTCTCTGGCTTTGGCGCGCTTATTAGACATCCAAATACCGACGCTGACAGAATTTTTGTGCGAGCGAATAATTCCAGATGTCAAAGGAGAAAGCTATGTTGAACACGAGATTGACAACGTGATGATGTTTGTGATAGGTCATATTGACACCGATGCAAGGCTAGTAGAGAAGATGAAAACTTTGAAATTTGTCTCAACTAACAGTGAAGGACGGGTTTCAGCTATGGAACTCTTCGATCCCAGAAAAGGCAAACTTAGGGAAATTTTTGCTGGCGAAGATGTTTTTCCCGTCTCGCAGTATACTGCTCCTGAAGTCCTTAGACATCTAGAGAAACTTGGCATGAAGAGTGAGGAAGATATCACAGCTTATGACCTCTACAAAAGTGCCACGAAGGTCGCTGACATTGTAACACAGGCAGAGGCAGAGAGGAAGTCGAAAGCAATTTTGAGTTATCTGTGCAGACATCCCAAGAAGCTTAAGGAGAACGTCTCTGGAGTGTCGCTGGGAATAAAGCTTCAAGATGTCCCTTGGATATCGCCAGTGCTAGTAAAGCCCCCTAATTTTCCCAGTAGCCTTCCTTTCTACGGAGAAAATGAAACAAAAGCTTATTTCTTCAAGCCCACGGAGGTAGAGACCAAAGATAAAGCGTCCTTAATTGGAGCAATAAGGCCTGTTGTTCCAGTTGATTCATCAAGTGAAGTAGCCAAACATCTTGGTTGGGACAAGAGTCCCCGTGCACTGGACGTTGTGGAGCATTTTAAAATCTTGATCGATTGTTACAGAAAGGATGAAAAGCCACAGTATATGTTAATGGTGGGCGAAATTTACTCTTTCCTTCTTAGGACAGATGAGACTCACGTGGAACAAGCGTTGGATGGAATCAAGAGCTCAAGATGGATTTGGAATGGAGACGGCTTTTCCTTTCCAAATGCTGTGCTTGCAGGAAAGCCTTCTATTGACCTCTCGCCTTACATTGCATCCCTTCCTACAGAGATGAATGCCTACTCTGAATTGTTTTGCAAATTTGGCATGCAAGAGCAGTGTGATGTTTTATGCTTGCTTTCTGTACTTAAATTGATTAAACAGAAGTATGAAGATTGTGAGGAGCAACAGTTTGATCCTAAAGACGTGGAAAGAGATTTACAGTTGTCTATTAACATTTTGAATAAGGTGCAATCTGAAGGCGGTGGAGAGTTATCATCAGAACTTCTCCAGCACGTTTTGCTTCCAACATTCGTAGAAAACGATACTTATGTCAAACTAGCGCAAGGGGAAAAATGCGTGTATTCCAAGAAAGGGTCGCGACCATTGTGTGATGATGAAAACACGGATTATTTACTGTTACACCAAAACGTCCCTTATAGCACTGCGGAATTTTTCAAAGTTCGAACGCTACAGAACAGCTTACTGGATCCTGATGAGCTCGGAATTGGGGAAGAGTGTGGACAGGAGGAGAAACTGACTAGTCGACTCAGGACACTGTTGGAGGATTACACCGATGGATTTGCAATACCGAAAGAACTTATTCAAAATGCAGATGACGCGGGTGCAACGGAGGTCAGGTTCTTGTACGATGAAAGAACTAATGAAGATGCAATGGACCTTTTGTTTGACGAAGGAATGAAAGAGTGCCAGGGTCCCGCTTTGTGGGTTTACAACGATGCTTTATTTGAAGACAAAGACTTTGAAAATCTGACAAAGTTAAATGGAGCGACAAAAGAAGAAGACACAGAAAAGATTGGAAAATTTGGACTTGGTTTCAATGCAGTGTACAATCTGACAGACGTTCCCATGTTAGTAAGCCGAAACTACTTTGTTATCTTTGATCCTAACACTTTTCATCTCGGAAAAGCAATAAGGAACAAAAACAAGCCAGGTATAAGGCTCAACACTAACAAAAACGCCAAGAAGCTAAAGAATTTTCCCCATCAGTTTAAGCCGTTCAATGGTATCTTTGGTTGCGATCTTTCTCTGAAAAATGAAGACAACTCATTCCATGGAACTCTGTTTCGCTTTCCTCTACGTACCGAAAATCAGGCTATAAAGAGCGAAGTAAAAAAACTTGTTTATGACGGCAAGCAAGTGAAAGAACTTTTGCAGCTTTTCATGAAAGGGGCAGGATCGCTATTACTCTTTACGCAGAATGTCCGTCGAGTCAGTGTTTCTCATTTGTCTAAAGAGGCGACAGATGCTGCACAACCTACACTGATGTTTGAAGTGACAAAGTCATTAAGGCAAGGAGGGATCATACGGAAATTGTCTATGCAAGTCGACCTTCCTCCTACTGCAAGCAATCTTGGGAGAGAAGATAAACGCTGTCTGGAGCAATGTAACTTTCTTAAGGCAGCAACAAAATTTGTGGAAGAAGCAGAAACTCCCAGTGCCATTTTGGGTAGGTCAGGGATAATCCTTGACATCCAGAACAACATGACGGAGGATGGACGCCCTTTCTTTCAAGACACTAGTACGCTACCATCTGGCGTTGAGACTTGGCTTGTCGCCTCTTCCATGGGCAAAGGCGAAGCTCTGAAGTTCTCCCGGGGTAAAAAAGGTCTTATTCCTTCTGCAGGAGTTGCTGTTCGACTGTCCCTTGACAATGGCTCTGTTTCAGGCTCTCTTTGTCCTTCAGATTTTAAAGGAACCCTGTTTTGCTATCTTCCACTACCAATCTACAGTGGTCTTCCTTTACACGTTAATGGTGCTTTTGCAGTAGCCTCAAACAGACGAACTTTGAAAGAGAAAACAAACGATGACAAAGCCTGCGTTGGAGTAGACTGGAACAATATTCTATTCCAAGATTCAGTTTGCGCAGCGTACCTAGACCTTCTGGAAGACGTTAAGTCATTTAGTACTCAAATGTCCGGGAGCAAATACCAGTTTCATTCGCTGTGGCCTACGTCTTGTAAAGTGGAAAAGGCCTGTGAGCCTCTCGCGAGATCACTCTATTATCACCTTGCTTGTAGTAGTAGTTCCCTTTTCTCCGATGGAGAAAAATGGGTCAGCATCCATGACGTTGTCTTTCTTGATCCTCAGTTTCGCAAAGATTCTGAAGTCGGTGACATTTCTTTCGAAGTATTTCAGATGTTGGTTTCTAAGGACATAGCCGTGATCGATCTTCCCTTTGATGTGTACAAATCGTTTGAAAACTATGGGTACGAAGAAGTGATTTGTTCCAAACGATATGACGAGAACAGGTTCTTTTCCGACCTGTTTTTCCCCAACATTGGTTCTGTACCGCCTCAGTTTAGAGACAGGCTGCTCATGTACGCGCTGGATAAAATGAATGAGGGTCTTGACGAGCTGATTAAGAGTCATGCCTGCATTCCAGCAACTCCGCATGGTCAAATACTCAAATGCCCTAGCCAGCTCATAAGTCCAAACGGAGATGCTGCATTGTTGTTTTCCCCGTTAGATGAAAGGTTTCCACAAGGCAGTGAACAAACTTTTCTTCACCCTTCACGGCTTTTTAAACTCCAGCAGCTTGGAATGGCGACGGATAACCTCTCCTGGTCTGAAATCGCAGAACGGGCAGAGAGCATCAGCATCCTGAATCAAAGTTCCACTGATGCAGCAAATGAAAGAGCCGAGAACCTGATCGCTTTCTTAGAGAAGAAGCTCAGTCGTGACGGAAATCCTCCACCTATGCCTGAAGATTACTCTCGAATTCTGAAGGCGAAATTTTTGCCAGTTCTCAAGAAACCCCAGTCGTTTCCTCTCACTTGGAAAGGAAGTGATACTAAAAGTGGAAAAAATCAAGTGTTCGTATCTGCGATAGAGGGCTTTTTACCTGAACACATGTATCTTTTATGCTGCAGTGAGCCAATAATAGGAGGGTATATTTCAGAAAACGCCAAAACCTTTTTGGACTTAAAAGGCAAACGACCCACAGTAGAGCATGTACTTGAACAAATAACCAAGGCCATTTGTACAGAAAGCGAACTGAATGATGCTGAGTATGAAGAGATAAGAAATACCTGTACCCAATGCTACAAATTTCTTCAGGAAGCTCTTGGCAGCAGTAAAACCAGAATAGCCAGTTTTTCTCAAGACACAGACTTCATTCTTGTCGGAAATAAGTTTTTACCTGCAAAGAAAGTTGCTTTCAACCTACCCGTCGATTGTTCTCCATACCTGTACAAGGTTCCAGAAGATTTGGCCTGGCGATACCCGATGTTGATGAAGGTAGCTGGCGTTAGAGAAACTTTCCAGGCAGACGATTTTATGAATGCTTTAAGGCAGATTAAAGAAAACTTTCAAGATGAAGCTCTCGACAAGGAGACACTTCAAATTGCAATCAATCTGGCAATTCAGTTAGAAAAATCGCTGGGTGAAGATCACCAACCTGTAGCACCTGAATGCCTTTATCTACCAGATGCTTTCGGAGTAATGCAACGTGTAAGTGAACTTTGTATTAACGATTGCCCCTGGATTTTGGGAAACACTGATGTCCAATACGTCAATCCTGGAATTCCCACGTTAAAATGTTACCGCCTAGGGGTAAAAACACGACGAGCAGAGGCCTTGCGACATCACGCCTATGGCATCTCTTTTGGACAACGAGAGAAACTGGAAAACCGCTTAAAACGGATTTTGGATGCCTACCCTTGTGGGAAAGAACTATTAAAAGAACTTCTCCAGAATGCTGATGACGCTCAAGCAACTGAGATTTGCTTTGTTGTGGATCCACGAAGCCATTCCAAAATTCGAGTATTTGAGAAGTGCTGGGAACCATTACAGGGCCCTGCGTTATGTGTGTATAACAACAAGCCTTTCACAGAAGCTGACCTTGTAGGTATACAAAATCTTGGAGAAGGAAGCAAGGGGGACGATCCAAACAAAACCGGCCAGTATGGAGTTGGTTTCAATGCCGTCTATCATTTAACAGATGTACCTTCATTTATATCTACTGGAGAAGAAATTGGTGACGTCTTATGTGCATTTGATCCAAACTGCCATTACGTCCCCGGAGCGAACCCTCAAGAACCTGGAAGAATGTACAAAAAAACAAAGGAGCTCAGGAACCTTTTTCCCGACGTGTTTTCCTGCTACCTCGAAGAACACTTTCAACCATTTGAAGATTCAACTATGTTTCGATTTCCTCTTCGAACACAACAGATGGCAAAGGATTCCAGTTTATCAACAAAGCCAGTCACCTTGCAGGAACTAAAAGAAATGATGGAAGCCCTGAAGAAAGAGCTCTTTGAAGTCCTTGTTTTTGTTAATAATGTTAAGAAGATAACTTTATGTGATATTGATGAGGACAGCGGCGATATTTTGAGCAAATATTCAGTGGAGGTGGTGATGTCCCATGAGGATGAACAAAAACGACATGAATTTGTTAACCATTTATTGCAGACCGGAAAGTCGACTAAACAGAAAAGAAGTGTTTTGTTAAACACTGAGGTTAAAAAGTGCTCCTACATCAAAACATTGCGAGACTCTTATGGTAAGGAAGAGAAGTGGTTCGTTGTTCAGCAGTTCGGTTTTGAAAAACCAGTCCCACCAAGCATAGCCTATGCTTACCAAAACCACGATCTGGGGCTCATTCCTCGAGGTGGGGTGGCATGCCTTTTGGAAAAGAACTCTACGAGTGTAACACCCCTGAGAAAAAAGAAAGTTTTTTGCTTTCTTCCGCTCCCCATCGAAACTAACCTGCCAGTTCACATTAATGGGCACTTTGCTTTGGACCATGAAGCCAGAAGAAATTTGTGGTGGGACGAGACAAGCGGCTATCGAAGTGACTGGAACAATGCCCTGCTAAGTGATGTGATAGCATCATGCTATCTAACACTTTTAGACGAGGTGAGGAGATTCTATCAACTACCAGTCACCCCAGGCGAATTAGAAAATCTGAGTTGTTGTGAACAAGATTTGGCTGAAAGATTCAAAGATTTCGAGAAGTTGTTTCCAAAGTTTGATGGCCATGATTCTCACTGGAACACACTTGTAAAGTCCGTTTATAAGAAAATGGACGAAAAGCGATGTCGGCTTCTTCCGGTGGTGAATTGCTGGTCACGAAACGCTGCCCATGTTCGTCAAATCCAGGTGACATGGCTTCCTCCTACTGGTACTGGAAATGATCAGGCATTCTTTAACAATATTGGTACTGATGGAAGCCCTGGGAAAGACAGGACACCAGGAAAGCATCATCTCGCAAAAATCCTCATCCAAACGGGATTTAACCTACTGAACCTTTCCGCTTCAATCTGCGAAGCATTCAACAGATCTGGTGTAAGAACTTGCTATGTGTCGCCTTCTTCGGTTATAAATTTCTTTAAGAAGTACGACTCTCAAGATTCCCATTGTATCCTTCGCTCTGTTCCAGTCGATGTCGGTGAGACACCTTTAGAGAATGCTGCCACCGTTTCACTTGTGCTTGCGTATTGCAAGTCTCAAGATCATTTTCTCCGTGATTTACATGGTCTTCCCTTGCTGTTAACGCAAGACAACGTGCTCCGAACGTTTGACGTGAGTAATCAGAAATTTTTGTCCCGATACCACGACATTTTGCCAAATTCTGAAGAGATGTTTGTTCACGAGAAAATAAGAAGTAGCATTTTCAGTAACCCAGCAAGTGTTGAAGCACGTGTTTTCCGACGTTTTGATGTGAGTGCTTTCGTGGAATTTTTGCCTAGATCCTATCCAGTTTTGTTTAATCAGTCAGATTATTATCTTCAGTGGGATCCAGAAAATCCAACACAACCAGGTAGACCTTGGGTTACCAGAGTTTGGAGCTTCCTTGGAGAAACACTGATATGTAATCAGTTATCAAGTTTGCAAGCAAGCATGCTGTCAGTACTTACGAAAATGTATAGCTGTAAAATTCTCCCTGCAACCGAAAAACCTTCCAACATTGACCTCTCTGATTCATTTCTGGCCAAAGGAGAATATTTAGTGCCCTTGAAATTAGCGGGAACTGTTCTTGACTCCAATGAGATGTATAAAGGCGTTCCACTATTTTCAGCTCTTAGAGATCTGGGTCTGCCTGAGATGAATAATACGGTGCTTTGTGCTTCGTCTGCGCCTAATTCATTCCTGGGTTCCTATTATCTTGCACGGCATCTCGTGGCGTCCCCTGAGAAACCCAAATCTATCATTGCTTCACTGGCTCAAATGATGACAAGAAAGCCTCATGCGTTACAAGGAAAACTGGATGCTTCAGGGTGCAAGATTGTTCTCCGTTATTTTAGCCAGAGTGTTGAAAGCCTTAAGGGAACGTTGTCTAGAGAAGAATTAGAGTCATCTAAGACTGTTTTACGAAAGCTCCCCTTTTATCCTGCTACGCACAATCGTCTTGTCAGCCTTGATAACCAGAAAGTTTGCGTTTTACCGAATAAAATACCTAGGGAGGAGATGACCAGTCTGGAGGAGAAGGTCGACGTATTGTTTCTCGAGCATGTCTCAGATCTCCTCAATTTATATGAGTTTCTGGCGTTTGATTGTATCACGACGGTGGATATATATTGTCAGTTTATCTTGCCTAATTTTGAGATCTTCAGCAAGGAGGCACGAATGAGACATCTCCTGTATCTTCGAGACTCGTTGTTGAAGCATTTTCTAGAAGAGAAAGAGAAGGAGAGATTACTGAGATGCTTGATGAATACGGCAATCATAACCACCCTCGAGGGCACACTAAGAATGGCGTCTTTTTTCTTTGACCCAAGGAATGAAGTGTTCAGAGCCATGCTACCAGAAGAAATGTTTCCACCCGAACCTTTCAATCACCCAGAATGGTTACCTTTTATGAAAGTGATCGGTATGATTAATGAAGTTTCTGGGAAACATTTCATCAGCTTTGCTAAAGACGTTGCACGGGAAGCAAAGATGCATCGCACATTGAAGACAGTCGAAAAATCAAAGCTACTAGTTTCCAGCCTTTTCAAGCGCTCAAAAACATCGGATGGACTCCTGCAAGCAGTTTGTGATATTCCTTTTGTGGTTTCAGATCCAATTCCCGAGGACCTTAAAAAGCTACATACACCGTTTGGTGCACAGAACGATGACCGAAATCCGTTTATTTCATTTAAAGACTCTGTCCTTTACAACCACATCGAAACCGTGTGGACGACAGCGTATCTACTTCCAAAGTGGGCAGATCCTAGGGAACCGTCGAACTTGACAAGAGAAGATTCTGTTAGTACCATTCTTTCGCATCTAAGAGTTTTGGTTGAGCCAACATTGCAAATGGTATTTTCCCACTGCATCAATATTGTTCAACAAGGTGCTGTAGAAAATGCTAGCAATTTTCCGGAAGGTCAGGTTGTGGCAAGAACGTCTGTCATGAGAAAGATTTACGCATTTTTGGATCAGAAAGTTACCCAAGGCATTGCTGTCCATAGTGGCCTTCAGGACATACCTTGCATTTTAGTTGAAAGGGGAGCAAGGTTTGTGAAATGCAAACAAGTAGTTCTCCATGGGTCTGAAGATCTTGAGATAACACCCTTTCTTTATCGACTACCTCTTGAAATCGGAGATTTCCACAGGCTCTTTTTGCACCTCGGATGCTCTAAAGATGTTAGAGCTACCCACTATGCTATGGTCTTGGAAATGTTACACGATCACGTCCGGTCGATGAAGCTGAATCCAAATCAGATCACAAGCACTTTGAAAGCAGTTCGAGGTTTTTTCGAAAGGTTAAAACAGCATCCCGACGAGAAAATTGAGTGCCAAAACTTGTACTTACCAGCAGTTTATCCGGTAAACAGATGCTCCTTCGACAACCTGCACAAGTCTACTGATTTAATATTCGATGACACTCCACACTATCGGCGTAGGCTTGAGAAGTACGACCAACTATTTGTGGTGGACCTAAAGATGGTAGAGCTACAATGCCCTTCTTCGATGAACTACAAAGACTACATTTTGTGCCTTCCAGATAGCTTACGGCCGCAATTTCTATCTAATGTTGTACAGGAAAAATTAGTTACTTCTCTGGAGAGTGGCGGTCTGATTCCCCATGTTGCCGTTGCTGATTCCTTAAAAAAACAGCTGTGCTCGGAACAGTTCTTTCGTGGAATTTTGAGGTTAATTCGTCACGCAAACCAAGACGGCAGATCCTTGGATGAAAGTGCTTCTTCTCGCCTTGAGAGCAGACTTCGAAGTATTGAGTTCTTCGGACTGAACGGAATTGTGACCCAGTTGGAGTGTAAGGGAGTTATTATCCCTGGAAGTGAAGCAGAAGTTCCACATTTTTTAGAAAAGGTTTCAAACGGAGGTAGAGATGTTTGGAAGGTCTATGTTAATGCCGAGGCAGAAAATACCGATACCCAAATGTCACTCACCCTAACGCAAGTGATCTCTGAGGCGTGTGAGGGACTGTTGCGGGAGAATGTTATGTTTATACCAGAGTTGTTGCGCACGAAGCCCAACAAGATATGGTCAATCCTGGACCACATGAGTATCCGACAGGATGAATCATACGATCCGTCGCTGAGTGATCTTTTACCTGATCCAGGGGATTTCATTCCGATTGAAGATCATCATTTGCTGAACGAAGGCTTTGAAGATTTCTCTCCCGGAGAGTATGTTGGATTCGAACTGGAGGATCCCAGTCTAGAAGAGAAGAACGAAGAAGCTACCTTCATATATGCCATTATAGTTGAAGAAATCAATAGCCAGGAAAATGCAAGTGTCTATACAAAACGTTACAAAGTCAATGTTGGACATGAAAAACAACTGCAGGTCGCCGAGTCTACAGATTTGTATAAATTTCACAGCCTTCAAACTCATTCGGAAAACCAAGAAAGGCCCACTTCAGAAGCAAGCAAAAAAGAAGTTTTAATCAGAATTGCTAAAGTGCTTAAAGTGGCATGGAATCTTCCTGAGAAAAGAAGAATAAAGATTATAAAGCGTTTGTTTCTTCAGTGGCATCCTGAAAAGAACATTGGTGACGCCGAGCTCTACAACGAAGTCATCCAGCATCTTCAAAATGAAATTGGAAAGTTGGACAGCGGTGAAACTACGTGCAACCAAGTCAGCAGCTACAAACCCTTCTATAATGTCTGGACAAAGCGTGCGAAACTGCATCATACTCGACGCCAGGAATACAGGGCAGCATTTGACAAAAAATATGGATCTCGGGAAACCTCAAAGACTCACAGTTTTAAGTCGGGAATTCCTCCAAGTTTCTGCAAGAAGAATCCTCAACCAGGTCAGGCACGACGTTGGTTTAGACAAGCGGAAGCCGACCTAAGGGCAGTTAAACAAGATTTGGCGGTAGAAACTCCTTCCTACGAGTGGGCGTGTTTTAAGTCTCACCAGGTACACTGCTTAATCGTTTAATCTTGTTTTATGAGCAAATCCCAAACCAAAAGTTACTCTCCTCAGAAAACACCGCTGGTGATATAATTTTGCCGAAAGTTAATTAACTTTTAAATGTTATTGCTGTCATTTGTTATTGTTAGGCTGCAGAGAAAGCACTAAAGGCTGCACAGTATGCGGATGATGCCTTTAAGACACGTGTGCATAATCTTACTAAAAATGCCAGCTGTTTGGGCGACACGGAATTGACAAACGTTGCGAACGACCTGGAATGTTGTGTTGAGGATTCAACACGCATGCGTTACCCTGACAGACTCAATTACCCCGAGATTCCTAATGATGTATACACAGACGCCCTGGCCAATGAAGCTTTAAGACTAGCGACGAACATCCTCGATAGGGTCCGCCAAAAACTTCCAGATTAGTATCAAACAAATAGGGGAAAAGAATCAGTTAGCAGAATTAATTAAGGCGCAGGTAAACGAGAATGTAATAATTGCGTCACGTTGTTACGTCACATTGCTATCTTGTTTAGCGTTATGGGAGGAACTTTTCCGCAGCAGTGATTACTCGTTTACGTCTCCTAGAATAAGATAGAAATTTTCTAGGAATCTAGTTACTGTTAGAATTCATGTTAACCGGTATTTCGTTTTTCAAGTTTGTAACAAGCGATAAAGAAAAATAACAGGATTTGCCATGTAGTAAACTGCTTAAGCATTGTTTGTTTTGTCAGTCGTTGCGATACGATTTAACACTAATCAGGCTATGATTTTACACTAAACTGAAGCAATTTGATAGAAGTGACATTTAGATATTAAAAAGCAAACTTAAATTAAAAATTTAAGGTAGATAGAGATAGCTGCGGGTCCGTGTACATTATTGTTGGCACAAAAACCGACGTTATCGCCATTTTGACACAACGTTAGGATGTTTTCTATTTCTCCCGAAAAACAATCAAATTCAACGGGCCTTCCCAAAAAGCAGCTAATGCCTATTTTCTTTATAGTGTTTATGTAACTTCGTCTTTTTTTGCTTGTTCAAATGTTCCCTATAAAAGGCAACCATCAGCAACGGGCGTTGTCATGGGAACATTTGAATGCAGCTAGTACAAAGTGTCAGGGAATTCAAAATGCATTCAGTAGTTCTAAACATGCATCGATACATGTCGTTGTTTTTATTTTCCCCTGATTCTTGGATCAGGGCAAAAGCTATATTGTTAAAGTTGATCACAATACAGGCTAAATGTTGTTGCAAGTAATAGTTCTTCTTTTCTCGTTTTGCTAGAAATTCAATATAACTCTTAACTCTCATTTTTAATGATATGATACAGGAGATATGTCATGTACTCTACAAAGGTCCTGGCCCCGGTTCCTGGAAAGCGGATTAAACTGTCCTCCGACTAGCGTCAAATCCACGATCAATTTTCTTATTCCTCGGATAACTAATCGTGGGTTAAAAAGGAGTTCCTGAAAGCGAAAAAAAACCCACGATTAACTAATCCGCGATTAGTGTTAAAATAAACCGGTTTAACTAGTTTTTGGGATGATTGCTTTTAAAAAGTGTGGTGCGAAAAATGTTTAGGCACGGGTGAAGTAAAGGAAAATGGCGGAAAATGAAGTGGTCTAGGTTGAACCCAAGGAGAAGAAGAGGAAACCGAAATTCTTCATCTACCTAGAAATAATTGGTCAAGTTTTTATAACGTAGTCCTTATATCTTATATTCATTCCGCAGTCCACAGTCCACGGTCCGCAGTCCATGTTTTTAATGTCCAAATTTATTACATGAAGTAGTAACCGCGTTGGCAAATGCTTATGTTTCCTCCTCGTCTGTCTCTCGAGGTCGTTCTTGAGGATTTGTACCAAATATTGAGTTGACTCTCGGCCAAACCTGTATCTACTGCAAAGCTCTTCATCAGTGAATTGGTCGAGATCAATTTCTTGCTGTCGGAACTTTTTTCCACGTATTTGTGGCAACGGTAAGTCCGCCATTTTGCTTGTTTTTACAAACTTTTCCCCTCGATTAGTGACTTAATCGACCTCGCTAGGTGGGTTAAAATGAACACTTAGTTTATTCCTACATTAAGGTTAATCATACTTTCAGCAACAGAATCTAATCGTGGGACAAAGTGTATTCCACGATTAGCGAGATTTAATCGTCGATTAGCGCTAATCGGCTTTCCAGGAACCTGGGCCTGTTTGTCTGCAAAATATAGTAGAATCAGATCAACAACAAAATCAGTATTTTCCAGTCATTGTATGACATTTGTAGACTTAAATTGTACCATAGAGCTAATTACAGACTTTAATTAACTGAAGAATAAACGGTAATAGAATTTTTTCTGTTTTCTTATTTTAAATTAACGTATTACCTTTGACGTCACTGAATTGGTCGCGCGATACACTACAAAAATGATTCTTTTTAATTCAAACCGCTTGTAAAACCTTGTTTAATGTTGTTGTTCACTTGAACTCGAGGGAAGAGTCAGTGAGACGACAAAACTTATTGCTTCCCGAGGGATTCAGAGTCGCTTGGTGAAAACTGGCATAGATCAATTAAAGTTAGGCAAATGAGCTTCTTGAGTCACTCCTTCTATGATTTTGAAGGCAAAAGAAGGTTACGAAGAGTAGAAGTGCGAACAGCAAAGCTCATGTAGGCTGGGCATAAGGCGAACGCCCGACGAGTAGGGTCTCAGCCTCTTATGATCCGTTCTTGAAAGCGAACCCGCGTCCCCTCGATCTCCCAAAGTCCCTCCCTCTCTCAACGTAAAAGAAAAAAAATTCTGCATCAGTATCAGGGATAAGGATTTTAGCTGTTTTGTTTCGTAACAGCAAAAGAAGATTTCGCAAAACTCCAAATTCACTGGAAGAGATCACAGAAAAAATAATTGAAAGGCAACTGATTTCGTTTTCCCGCTTCTCGTCTTCATAGATGAGCATGTTGCCAAAATTTACACCACTTTTAAGATTACCGGAAGTAATTTTTATAAGCGGACAACAAATGTAGAAATATTTTTTTGAAAAACATGGCAATTTAATTCCGAGTGTCTAAATCTTGTGTAGGAGCTGCCCCTAAGGTCTCTCCTAATTGGTCGCAGGAAATAAGGACATGTCATTCTTTCAATTGCCTTAATATTGTTTGGGGTCAGGGTTAGGCAGCTGCTACATAACGGTACTTAAAATGGAACAAAGTATGAATAAAAGGAGTTTCAATTGCATGAGTTAAAGTATCTAATCATATCAGACATCACATTTACCCCCGTTTGGGAGAACTTGAAAATGGAGTTTCAAATTCCTACAACCCTGGTCAAAACGTTTTGGGGCACTTGAGAAAATTAGGCACAAAGACGCACTTTGCTAAATTAACTCATATTCTACCTCTTAAAAAAGCTTGGGGGTGGTGCTATAAGGGGCTATTTCTGCTGTCTCCCTCTCCGACAAGCCGTGTTGATTGTGTTGAATTAAAACTTGAATACATAACGATTGTGTTAAATTAAAACTTGAATGCATAACGTCAACACTGTACCGAGGGGGAAGGGGGAAGGGAAGGTGCCTCAATTTGACGAGCTATTGCGTTAGTGTCCCAAGAGTTTTGACCAGGGTTGTAGCTTTTCATGTAATGCTTCCTTGAAAAGTGCAATCCCCTGCCCCCCTCCCATCTCTTTTGGGAAGGGACAGCACGGGCAGCGTGAAAGTCAGCACTCGGGGGAAAGGGAAAGAAAGAGAAAAAAGGTAAAACATGGCTGACCGAGGGTAATAAAGAGGTCTAAAAAATTAGTTATGCAAGGATTATCATCCACACACGGCTGAAAGGTGATATCATTGTTTAGATATCAAATGGCCACATTAGCATGAAGGCAAAACTCTGAATAGAGAATAATATTTTCAGTGACAATTTCTATGACTGATTCCAATAATTCTTTGTTTTCTCATCAAACAAATGGCAACTATGTGGCGTGATGCAGCAGCTTAAGCTGAATGTAAGACTCAAGACTTCCTTGATGTACCGACATTAAATGAAAGATGGCAAGAAGCAAAGAGGACAAATATGAAAGTGGGTGACCCAAATCACCCTAGAATCTTATCAATTATGTGGACGGAATGTTCTTTTTTAAATTCAATGAATTTATATTTGGTCGTAGTAGGAATGACTGGGTTATTTCTGAACATTTTCCCGTGGATTGTTTGCTATTCCAAGCTTCGTGCTCTGAGCCACCGAAGTAGTAGAAAGGTGCTGTTAATATCTCTTGTTTTGGTTGACTTTTTGACTGTCTGTGTTCCTCTACCAGTTTATCTATCAAAACACTACAACTGTCCAGGAAATCAGAGGACAAGCTTCGTCGGAAGGCCAACGATTTGCGAGATGTTTCATCTGATGTTCGTGTGGCTCAAACTTGCTGCACTTTTTATCATAACAACGTTGAACTACACTTCATACCTCGCTATAACCGCGAGAGGAATTTATCGCAGCATCGGAGACAGAATTTCTTCGTCTTTAGCGTGCTCTAAATACGAGCTGAGACATCAAGAAAAGACGCACTCGACAATGGTCATAGCCAATTTAGTGATTGGAATAGCTATCGTAGCCTTTTTGATCGCTTCTTTACCATACATTGGCCTTGGTCCAGAGAGCCTTTCACCACAATCTACCCTATTATATCAACAAAACTCTACGACAACTTTGTTTCAGTGTTCCTTGGATCAAATAAGCTACCCGCAAAAGAGCAAAGAATACACGTTCCTGTTTGCGGTTCTTATGAGCAGTGCCGCTTGCTTCTTGCTCCACCTTGTTCACAGTGTCCTGAGCTGCTTTAGTTGTCCGAGTTATTCAGTGGCAAAAACGGGCGCATCGAGAACTTTTGCCATTTACAACCGAAAGCTCGGAGCGGAAAGAGACTTTGCCAAACTTATCTGCGTGTTGGGCCTGACCTTTCATTTAACGTGGATTCCGGTTATGGTAACAGGGGCGGATCTAGGGGGAGGGTGCAGGGGGTGCGCACCCCCCTCCCCCGAGATGACCTGCGGTTTTCTAATACAACTGGTATTCTGCCAAACTATGTGGTTTATTGGTGTTGAAGTAGAGCAAGAGAAGAGTCCACCCCCTCCTAAAAAAAATCCTGGATCCGCCCCTGGGTAAGTGAATAAATCTTGCTTGTGCATTTGAGGCGTATTTTGGTCTAAATTCTGTAAAGAATGAAATTTGAGAAAGAAGATTTTAATTCATTTAAGGCAATAATCAAAAGCTTAGAAAGGCCCGAAATCATTTCATCTTCCACGAAATCGTTCAACCCACCTATACTGCCGTGACTAAAAGATCATTGACTTAAACTTAGCCAGCTGACATAGAGGTTATATACTAAAGACATTGACAAGCCTATAATAACCAAATGTAACGCATAGTTAGTTAGGCTATCTTTCATTATTTTGTATGGTTGCTGTCAGTGGTATTGTGAACTCGTCATTTGACCCCACACAAGATTTGACTAAAGCTCTATTCTATTCTTCAGTTCAAGTACATTTCAATATAACAGGAGCTATTAACAATACAGGCGTATGATGTTTTAGTACTAATCATCCGGCTCCGAACTTCTTGCAAAATATATATCAAGAAAAGCGTCTTCGAGTCCGTACGTTTCTGCTAAAGACCACAAACTGGGAGTTCTTAAGGAGCAGACAACACTTATATATATATAATCCGCTTCTCTTTAGGCATTATGGGTAATCAGAAGGAGCGTAGATTTTGCATTTCTGAACGCTTTCACTGTTAACAGTGGCCAGAGGGAGAAATTTCCCCAAATTCCAAAATTCTTTTTGTAAACATATCCTAAGGAATGAAAATCACCATGCAAAGGTCTACTAAAGGGGTTTCATTTGAATGATCCTGAACACCATAGTATTTCGTCCACAGACTCTTGAAAAAGTTAGAACTAAATATCAATTAAATAGTACCATGAAAAGGTTTCATTTGAATTGTCACACCATGGGATTTCATCCACAGACTCAAAAGTTGGAACTACATACTAAATAAATAGTACCATGTGAAAGTATTGCTGAAGAGGTTTTATTTGAATGGTAACACCATAGGATTTCATCCACAGACTCAAAAGTTGGAACTACATACTAAATAAATAGTACCATGTGAAAGTACTGCTGAAGAGGTTTCATTTGAACTGTCACACCATGGGATTTCATCCACAGACTCAAAAGTTGGACCCTCATACTAAATAAATTCTGACCATGTGAAACTACTGCTGAAGAGGTTTCATTTGAATGGACACATCATACAATTTTGTCCACTGATTTTTAAAAGTTAGAAAACGGTTCTTAACGTTTTTAACGTTTTTTTGAAGGCCAAAAATATTGACCTCTCCAGAAAATACCATAACATACCATAATGCTCTTTGTTTGTCACCCAAAAATTTTGCATAAGCATTGTTTTCAGTTTCTCTTAACTCCCAAGAGAAACTGAAGACAAAGCTTATGCAAAATTTCGGGGTATTCCTGGAGTGGTCAATTTGTAAATAAGAGACAAGCTTTGCCACCTTATGGGATTGGAAATTGTATGCCAGTCTGTGCTTGGGTCCTTAGACGACCTTAGACATCTTTTGGTACTACTTCTACTAAACTTATTTTCCATTTGAGATCATTCAAAACTAATATAAGGGGCAAAAAGCATTTAATCGGCATAAAAATAATTCTGAAAAAAGTGTTATTTATATCTTGAGGAATTGGAAAGGTAGCATTCAGCTGCTAAAAAGCTCTTTAATCCTGTTAATGAAATCTCCAGCGTTAAGTTTTAAATAGTCACTGCGGATCACTGAGTCATTGTTAGTTTTCACCAAGTGGACGTACCCGGGGTGAGGGGAGTGTGAAGGTTGTTAAAATTTATCAAATTGATTTAGTACTTAGGAACTGCCACCAAATTGAGTGAAACATGAAAATAACTGCTCAGAACGATAAAAGGTATAAATAAAGGTATGGATGGACAAATGTGAAGAAGATTGAGGAGGATTGCAATTATGGTTTTTGAAAACCAGTTAGCGTAACAGTGTTTCAATGTTCATTTTTGTTGAAAAATTGCCTGGGAGACACATTTGTTTGCACGAAACTGTTATCTTGACATTCACAAGTAATTTCTTAACTTTTTTTATTATAGAATAAGGACGTGTAATTGGCATTATTAGCTAAATGAACTGGACATAAGTGACACTTACAACCCCTTCTACATTCCAGACTAACTATGAACCATAATCTCCGTTTTGTCACACCACAAATGAAATTCTTATAAACGATAGCCGATCTTGACCAAAATCTAAGACTAGGGCCCGCGCATCAAATGTTAAACTTTACACGCTAATGAGTGTGAAAGATAGATTTTGCTCGATGGCATTAGGTTCAGTCAGATGTGAATTTCGATTTTTTCCCGGTTTCCTAATCTGTTTGAAATCCTTTCCTTGACTACGACACAATATTTATACATTGCGCCCCCCGCCCCCCCCAAAAAAAGAGGAGAGGAGAGGGGGAGAGGGGCTGTGCCGTGAATTGGTTCTAATTGATGTCCTGACTAAAGTCAGTCAAAGGCGCCTTCAGTCAAAATCTCTAAGTTAAAGTTATTGTGACCATGCCTTGGTTCTTTTTATTTCAGGTGGCAGTTAGTTGCATCATGTCTGGATACAATATCAGTACGGAATTCTCCCAGTATGTCATCGCAGCGGCGTTTTTACCACCGACTATAAACCCAATGCTCTTTGGTACGTTTCTGTCGGATTTCAGAGACGGTTACAAGGCTTTGTTGAAGCTCATACCAGACAAGGTCACTAAGATTTTTAAAGGTTTGTTTTCAGTTTATCAACACCATTTTAGACTATTATATCACACTAGGTTGGCTTCCACGACTTCTGTATTTATTTGGCCTGATTTTTTTACCAGGCGCAACGAAGGGCCAACCAGTGGCATTTAGCTGCAGAACTCCCTTGGTAGAGCAATGTCCCGCCCAACCGGGCCACTTTTGTTCTTTTCTATATTTGGCAAATAAGAGATTATTTTAACACTCTTGAACAAAAGTAGCCTGAGAAAACAGCCGTCATTTCGAATCGTCACTACTGGTTTCCCCGCAACATAACATCTAGGCAGGAAATGAGTGCAGAAATTCCATACTGATGACGTACCACTACCTAGATCTGGTTAGTAATTTTGCTCAGTTGAAGAAAATTTTCAATCAATCGGAAGCACTACCAAGATCTGGGTACTGTGCGTCATCAGTATGGAATTTCTACGCTCGTTTCTCAGACGGCATTTCGCGGGGAAACCACGTAGTGGTGGCGTCGCGAAATGTCAGCTGTTTTTTCAGGCTATAACAAAAGTGACTTTATTTTATTTTTGGCTGGAAGGAAGGTTTATTGGACGTTTTACACCATATTATTATAGATCATCATAATAGTTAAAGCTTGACGCCCTTATGATCTTCTGTTCAGTCTTCAGTCTCTGTAAACCTGAAGGAAATTCTTTGAGAACTGCCTTTTGGGGGGGTTGGTGCAGACTCAGCGCATGAAGGTGTTGGGGATGCTCGTCGTCTCACTTAGGGGTGTAAATTTCGGATTTTGGTCTGACTTAGGATGTTCTGGGCAAAACGCCATCATATTTAGCCCTGGAGGTCTCGTTTAAGATTGCACGCCAAAAAATATAAAATATATATTTATTGTCTGTGTTTTAACATGGTCTCTTTTAGGGGTCAAAAAAAGCTTGGGCCACGCCCAGATGGTCTCCTTTAGGGGTTTAATTCAAAATTTCCGACGAGCATCCCCACCCCTTTCATATGTGGACTCCCCCCCCAGGCTTTTGCCATACTTTTGAATGAAGTCAATATCACCAGTTCAAAAGCTAAGTGCTTTACATCACTTTGTTGAAATGAAATTCTGCAGAGTCTAAAAAGTTAAAGGTAATTTGGTAATTGCTTTCTTTCCTTACATTGTGCGACTTTGGTGTATAAACCGAAGGAGATGATAACAAATTCAGCGATTGTTACAATATTCTCAGAGACTGGACACAAAGTATAAAGAGATTATAGTTCACACTGTAAATAAAGGATTCAGTGCATGTGAACTGAAAACCGTCGTGCAAATTTCAACACGCTAACGTCCGTTGTTACTACTGCGGGAATGACGAGAGTTTTGTATTTAGCACGCCTTAAAAATTAGTCTTGGAAGTTGTTATTAATGACGTTTCTATTGGTCAGTACACACAGTCACGATCAAAAAGACACTGATATCAACTTTTGATTCATTGCGTTAGTCTGCATTGCTGTAGCCTGCGTCACAAACGAAACTAACCTCTGGTTAACCGAGGTTTAATTACCTCTGCGTTCGTAGGCTAGCATTACTAAGGCATAAGAAATTAAGGATAAAGATTAAACAGGCGGCGTTGGTCTCTCTCCTCATGCGTGTCTCGGATGGTCTCATAAACACACTGCTGTGGTCATGGCCAAATAAAAAGTAGCCGAGAGTGGCGTGAATGTTTCTTAATTAAAATATGATAGAACTGTTCACACGAGTAGACATCTCATGGTTTTCAGGAGGAAAAATGCCCGGCGGACTTAATCGTGCAACTTTAACAAGATAATTATAGATCGGGGAATTGAATTAGGTTACGACCTGTAATGGTTAGCTACAGAAGAACTGAACAGGATTCAGTGATATTATGCAACAATTGAGCTTAAAGTTGTAATTAAATTAATCAATCTATCAGTGGATCTTGTCGGTGCGACTAGAACCTAAAGCTACGTGTAAACGGACGCAACAACGCCCAAGAATGTTGGGAGTTGTTACATCCGTGTTGGCATTGATGTGCAAACGGATGTAACATGTCCCAATAATGATGGGACCTGCAGTGTATCGTGGGAAGGATACAACCCTTAAGACTTTGGAAACCATGTGCAATGCGCGTGCCTGGCTTAAAAAAATGTTGGAAAGAGTTTTGCAAAAGGACGCAACATGCAACATCCAACAATGTTGGCAGTCGTGGGCCAACGATGTTCGGTCCGTTTGCACGGCGCTAAAGCTGCTGTTAATACTAGGCACACGTTACCTGGCCCAACTGATTGTTATTAACTTACCCTACCATTGAGAATAAAACAAAAATAACACAGTTTCTTTTCCCACTTTCGGTACTTAATGTCGTTACAGATGGCGGTTCAAGTGCTCTGTGATCAGTGACAGTAAATAAAATTGGGCAGTTGTGGAGACAGTACATGTATTCACTTTCGATGGCAAGGAAATGTGAGGCTATATATGAAATTCTGACTCCAACTATTACAGTCTGTGGGTTCGTATTGAAACCGGCAGCTGTCCATTGCTGCCAAACATTTTGGTCCATTTTGGGTGCGAACTTAAAAGACAGTACCCTGGCTCCAGAGGTCCGTTCTCAGAATACCTAAGAGTAATGAACCGTGCTCACGGTTTAATAGGGCTCGCGCCTCGCTGACGCAGCTTCGTCGCGAACCAACAGTCAGATCGATGAGAAAAAAATATCCTTTGGAACCCAGAGTAAAAAGACAGCTAATACTGGCAATCAATTTTTGGGTTTCTGATTTTTTTTTAACGTTTACGCCGTAATGCACATTTTAAAAGATGCTCAGGCTGGTTAGAGAGTAGGCACAGAGAGTAGGATTTTACTAGAGCAAGCTGTAAAGTTTACTTTTATTTGCACTAACTTTTACTTCAAGAGACAAATTAGGTGAGTTTACTCCTACTCTGCACATGTACTTAATGTAATACTAATCTAATTTATAAAATACAATTACTGCAAATATCCCTAAGGAAATGTTAAATGTTGATGCAAGTCTATCATGTATCACAAAAGTGACGACTATCTGAGGAAAAGATACCCCCTTAATAGCGCCTCGAAATTAATAACTTTCCTTGATCTTTGTTATTACTCGTAAACAAGAAACTAAGCGAAAACCATGGACAGAAGTTATGAAAGTTATCAACGGTTTGGTTCTGAAACATCGACGGCACTGGCGCGATTAATTAACTACGTGTTTTACGATAACAAAGTCACGCTTAATTTAGTTCTCAGTAGAAAACAAAAAATTCCAGATTCCAACAGCAAAACAGGTCACGTGACTGATTTCAGGGTGAAATATGGAATATATCCCTAAAAGAACTAGAGATTAAAAGAGCAATGAAAAGGGGGGTCTACCAAATTTCAGGTTGTAACTGCGATTTTATAGTTATATCAAGAACGGACAAAATGTAATATGAATAATTTGAGAAAAAAAAATCAGAATTCTCCGACATCTAAATTCTGATAACCTTGCCGGCAGTCGACACCCATCTTAGGTTCAGGGCCTCAAAACTGGTTTCAAGCTACTTTTCTGATGCTCTTCTCATCTCTCTGATGGTGTTTACTTTTCGCTTCCCGCCATTTTTGCATTAACCAGGTCATGTACGTCCCATGTGCTAAGAACTAATTCGATACCAGGGCTACTAATGTATTACTTTGTCTAAATAGTTAACATTTTGTAGTCCCTAAATAAGAAAGCCATAAAACCTGCTAATTTGTAAAGAGGCAGAGTGTGTTGCATTGGTATTTTTAAAAAAGAATAACGTTAAAGGTAAAAATTTCGACGAGAAAAGTTCTTCTAGTACTGAACAACTTGTCATTTCGCAAGAGTCAAAGTCTTTTGTAAAAGCTGACTTTTATGTTTCTTTCGTGATCGCCAATTGAACTAATTTTAAGCTCCTTTTTTTTTTCACGCAAAGAAATACAAATATTAAAATAGAATGAAAAATAGCCTTGAGATTAAGCTTTTACAATTAAACACTACCAAAAAAAACCTCAATGGTGTTTCTACATGTTACACAAGATCGAAAGTTACAAAGCTACAAAAACAAACACGCAGCAAAATGCTTCAAAGTCAATAAGACAATAAACAATGCTTTTGACTAGATACTTTAAAAATGTCGTAGAAAAATTATTGAGTAAGTAATTAATAAGGCTTGCCAAAGATTATGTCGAACAATCTTCGATCGCGAGTGGCACCACAATCTTCTGATACACAATCCTATACTTGACTCGAAAGTCGCTTCTCCTGTAATGAAAACTTACAGCGAAAGCAGAACTGAACTGCAAAATCTACAAATTTTAAAGAAAATACTGGAAAAGTAAAGTCAGTTTTTGCCATCAGAGCAGCCCTGTGAGCCGAAAAGTTTTGACGTTGCCTTGAAAATTGCAGCAAGTGAAAAAATACGCTCGGAAAACTTGCGGTTGTGGTCAACCTGGAGGCCATTCGATTCGAGTTTTGAATGAAAGGAGCGTTAGTGACGATAAAAATTTGTGTCCTCTGTGGTTGGTGATTCTCAAATCAGTCTGAAGTAGTGTCGGAGACACCTTTTAGCCGCGATACAGTTGGCCGTGAGCTGTAGTAAGCCATGCTTTGCTCGCTACTGTGCCCTGAAACGGACTGGAACTTTCGCGTCGGAAAGCAAGGTTATGTGTTTATTTTAACTGATTTTAAGAAGTCATGTTTTGATGTTTCATTCCTGCCGACATCAATCAGTGTGTCAACAATTATGTTAAGACTAAAAAGTTGAATTTCTTAAAAAAATTAATCTGATAAAACATTTTGTTTATTGGGCTTGTTAAATTCTAGCTGAATGGTTCTCGGCTCACCTAATTTTATGCCTGGTTTCGTCTCGCTCGACTGCATGCCGACTGAGACTGCTCGGGTATTTTTTTTTTCTGAGTCATTTTCTAAGAAAGAAACGGCTTTAACTTCATTCTTTCTGCTTCTCGTACCTGTTCAATGCCTTGATAAGACTTATTGGTACCTTATTGTTT